GAAAGAAAAGGAGGGAAAGAAAAGGAAAGAGGAAGGAAAGGAGGGAAAGAAAGAGGACAAAGAGGTGGGGGGAGGGGAGGCTCTCCCACCTCCCACTCCCCCAATCAAGCCTCCGCCACCCCCGGATCCCTCACTTACCCAGGGAGGCGGCAGGGGGCCTCTTCTGGCCTCCCACGGGCCGCAGTTTGTCTTGATAACTTAGAATGGAAAATTATTGTTTATGATTGATATGTTGTTAATATCAGTATATAATTTATTGTTTGTATGGTTGGGATGAATTTAGGTGTATTGTTTAAAAAGGTGGGAAAAAATAGGATTAGGTAGGAACCTTATTAGTGTGGTTATGATTATATTATTATAGGAACTCATTGATGTCTTGTATTAATAGCAACAACTTCTTAAGATGAGTGGATAGGATTTTTTCTTACATGACCTGCCTCGGACAAATATACTTGGGTACCTTGGAATTAGAAATAGAGCCTCTGGAAGAAATTATATAGTGTCAGTAAATTAGTGGAAAAAATATAAGTGATTAATGGAAAAAACAGCAGATGAATTTATAGTGTATTGCTATAGGTGATATGATTAAGACTAGAGAGAGTATAAAAATGGGATTTTGTATAACTAATCCTTTTCTTTGTTGGTCAATGTGATGTATCGAGGAAAATATGTATGTAACGGTATATATGTGTGTGTATGTCTAGTAAGCATAAAAATTCAATAAAAATATTTATATATTAAAAAAAAAGAACAGTGGTCCATCTAGTCCAGCATCCTGTCTCACACAGTGGCCAACCAGTTCCTCTGGACGGCCAGCAACAGGGCATAGAGGACGAGGCCTTCCCCTGATGCTGCCTTCTGGCTCTGGGATTCAGAGGCTTAGTGCCTCTGAATGTGGAGTTTCCCCTCACTCTCCATGGCTAGTAGCCATTGATAGAGTTGCCCTCCACGAATCTATCTAATCCCCCTTTAAAGCTGTTTATTCATGTGGCCATCACTACATCCTCTGGCAGCAGATTCCACATTTTAATCACTTTCTGTCTAAAGAAGTATTTCCTTTTGTCTGTCCTGAACCTTCTGCCCATCAGTTTCACTGGATGTCCTTGAGTTCTAGTATTTTGGGAGAGGAAGAAATATTTCTTTGTCAACTCTCTCCATCTCATGCATAATTTTATAAAACTCTATCATGTCTCCCCCGCCCCCCACCCCTCATCTCTTTTCTAAACTGAAAAGTCCCGGACTCTTCAGCCTTTCCTCCTAGGGAAGGTGCTCCAACTCTCTAATCATCCTGGTTGCCCTCCTCTGCATTTTCCTCAGCTCTTCAATGTCCTTTTTGAGATATGGGGACCAGAACTGTACACAGTATTCCAAATGAGGTCACACCATAGATCTATACAGCGGCATTACAATATTGGCCGTTTTATTCTCAATCCCTTTCCTAATAATCCCTAACATAAGAGTTTGCCTTTTTCACTGCTACAGCACACTGGATCGACACTTTAATTGAATTATCCAGTACGACCCCAAGATCTTTCTCACTCTCAGTCTCAGCGATTTCAGACCCCATTAACCTGGGATTTTTTTGACCCAATGAGCATCACTTTACACTTAGGAACACTGAATTTCATTTGCCACATTGTTGCCCACTCACCCAGTTTGTGGAGGTCCTCTTGGAGCTCTCCACAGTCAGCTTTGGTTTTCACCATCCTGAATAATTTTGTGTCATCTGCAAACTTGGCCACTACACTACTCTCCCCCAGTTCCAGATCACTGATGAATACATTAAATAGTACTGGCCCCGATACTGATCCCCGTGGGACCCCACTGCTTACTTCCCTCTGTTGTGAGAACTGTTCATTGATTCCTATTCTTTGCTTCCTGTCATTTAACCAGTTTTTAATTCATAAGAGAACCCATCCTCTTATCCCATGACTGTTAAGTTTACTCATGAGTCTTTGGTGAGGTTCCTTGTGAAAAGCCTTTTGAAAGTCCAGGTATATAATGTCTACCAGGTCACCATTGTCTACAAGCTTGTTCACTTTATCAAAGAACTCCAAAAGATTGGTGAGGCTGGACTTCCCTTTGTAGAAGCCATGCTGATTTTCCCTCAGCAAGCTTTGTCCCTCTATGTGCCTAACAATTCTTTGATTACAGTTCTTACTAATTTGCCTGCCGAGGGCAATGGAGGCCATTGCCCCTCCTTTTGTATACTGGAGCATTTTCTTCCCCAAGCAAATATTATCCTCTTTCTAACTCTGAGGTCCTCTTGGCAAATGTCCACCTATAGTGAACCCTACCAGGGGGCTTTGAAGTGCCTTTATAATTGAAAATGTCCTTCTGTACCTGAATTTCTTTTTTTCTATTGAATGAACATTTTTTTTTAAAAAAAGCAAGAATCCTGGTAAATTTGTTTTTCTCAGTGATTTATTCGAATTAGACATTACAGGCTCTCCACTGGGGAGAAAAGTGGAGTATAAATTAAGTAAATAAATAAAGCTAGGGAACCTGAGAAGAATGGCAATAAAACAGAGGCCATGTGAACAGCTCCCACTAAACTTCAGCAACTGCCTGCATTTGGGGACACTCAGTTGAGTCAGGGATGCTAGAGCCCCACAACTTTGCCCCACAGACCAACCCTGGTGGCAGCACAACCTCTGTAACCTGTTTCCTGACTCAGAGAAACCATTAGCACTTTGATATTGCCAAGGATTGCAGCTGTGAGAAAAAAGGCATGCTTGTATATCAATTTCCCCCCCCGGACCAAGAGTCACTATCATCTCTGCATGGAAAGGCTGATCAGTTGGGAAGGGATCGCACGTTTGGAGTGAATTTTCCACTGGACACAATCGGTCATGGACATTCAGTCCAATATATACATACTGCATTACACAATACGTATTATAGTATTCCCATTACTATGTATTGGTGTGAAAGTTGAACAGTGAAGAAAGCTGACAGGAAGAAAGTTCAACAAAGTTCGAGTCCAGTGGCACCTGTCCAACAAAGTTTCATTCAAGGTATTAGATTTTGTGTGCACACCTGCTTCTTCAGATAAGGTGAAATGGAAGTTACCAGTCCATACATATGGTAGGTAGAGAGTAAGCATTAAATTAGTATACAGCATAATGAAGATATTTAACAGATTCAAGGGCCAAACAGGAATAACAAGCTTCATTTATATGGTTACAATTTGTGTGGGTTTAATTCCGGGGGGAAACACAGTGAAGGAAATAAATATATCAAAGTTGGAGGCTGATGGGCAAATGTACCTTTCTTATGTACTGAGACAGGCACTGCGTGTAAACATTCCTTGTTCATAACCATTGACAGTCTTGACTTCAAGTTCCTTTTTCTGAAGCCATCCTATGACAAGGGATTCCACAGAGCAATTAAATAGGCAGATAAAACAGGAAGTCAGAAAAGGATCTCCAAGGCATTAGCACCCATAGTGAGAGGGGAATCCTGTGGGGTAAATGATCTCTGTAGTCTGGAGATCAATTGTGATTCTGGGAGACCACACAAACACACACACCCCCGGAGTCTGGTGACTCAGAACCCTGCACAATTCAAATGTTCACCGTGCGCACTGTATTGTGTTTGTACAGCTGAAGGTTTTGTAGATAGGAACGACCATCCGAGCTCGCTCGATCTCCCAAACCTCTACTGTCTCCAAAGCCCGAGAAGAAATTCTGTAAGTAACCCAAAACCTGGCATATATCTTTGCAACCCTTCAAAGATATTTTTCCCTCAGCCGGTGTTGTTGTTTTTTAAGTTTCCTCTGGCTGAAAACCGCAAGAGCACTTTCCTTGGAAAAATGAGATTTACTTCTGAGTAACCAGTTTAGGATCGCTCCCACCCTTGCGCTTAACAGATTGATGGAACAGCGAGAGGCGCCCGCCCTCTGCTGGACAATTGGGCATAGCAGGGCTCCAGAGCCTGCAGGGCCGGGACTGGCGGCCCTGGCTCAGCAATTTCAGGTCGCAGCTTGTCTGCAGCAGTCCGGCGGTGGCATGGCTGCCAGACCCCGACCCGGGAAGATGCCTCCTCGCTCTGCTTCCCTTTGCTTGCACCGCTGGTCTTCTCGAGTCCAGTCAAGGGGAGCCGCCTAGGCAACCGTGGAGAGTCCAGGCGCGTTACGAAGGGGGAGAGTGTTTCTCCAGAGCAGGAGTGGCGATGCTCCGCCCGCCTCTGCTCACATCTCGCGTGGGCTGTGCACCAGCCTCAGGTCCTGAGAGACTGCGGGGGGGGGGGGGGGGGGGAGCCTGCCTAACCCGACTGAGGCAGGAGCAGCTCCTCGTTGGCGCTGTCGAGCTTGGCTTGCCGAGGTCGTCCGTAGAAGGTAAGGAGAGAGGGGGCGAGGAGGAGCGGCTCAGTTTTTGCCCAGGGACCCACACCCACCTCTCAACGTCTCGGTCTTTGCACGGCCAACCCACAGACACCCCCCTCAGGGTCCCACGCGTCTTTCGGGGAGGGGTTGCAGTGACTGAACGTGGGGCCATCCTATGACAAGGAGCAACCCTTGTGGAGTCCGTGGGCTGTAACCATTTTACAGTGGAGAGCCAGCGTGGTGTAGCAGTTAGGAACGGTGGACTCTAATCTGAAGAACCCGATTCGATTCCCCAGTTCTCCACATGACGCCTGCTGGGTGACCTTGGGCCACTCACAGTTCTCACAGAACTCTCTCACCCCCACCTCCTTCAAGGTGCCTGTTGTGAGGAGAGGAAGGAAAAGGCCATTGTAGGCCGCTTAATGTAGAGAAAAGCAGGGTATAAGAACTTGCTCTTCTTTAAGATGGAGGCAAGGAAGTGTTATGCCATGGCACTACAGGGTTTGAAAGCCATCATGCTAGTCAAGAGCGTGACCTGAGATGTTTCTTGCACACCTGCAAATCGAGAGCAGATTTGGTGTAGTGGTTAAGTGCGCGGACTCTAATCTGGGAGAACCGGGTTTGAGTCCCCACTCCTCCACTTGCACCTGTTGGTGTGACCTTGGGTCAGTCACAAGTTCTTTTGGAGCTGTTCTCTCAAGAGCAGTCCTCTCGGAGCTCTCTCAGCCCCACCCACCTCACAGGGTGTCTGTTGTGGGGAGGGGAAGGGAAAGGAGTTTGTAAGCCGCTCTGAGACTCCAAGTGAAGGGTGGGGTATAAATCCAATCTCTTCTTCTTCTTCTAACCTCCATTGTGGCTCCCTGTTGAAGAAAAATATGTTTTGCTTACACAAAAGCTTGTTAGATAACTGGAATAAAAATTATGTTTTTTTATTTAGTGTTCTTGCACAGCTAAAGCCATGACAGTTTCTGTATAACCAACAGTAGCAACCTCATTGGCTACGATACTGTCACTGCAGAATGTGCAAATTTTTAGAGGTTATTATATTTTAAATCTAATTTAAATTCCAGTGCTGTAAGTTGTCTAATTTGTATATTGTTTTAAATTGTAGTGGCCAATGGCTACACAATAAATTTTACTACTACTACTACAAAAAAAACCCCAAAAACTAGCAACCTCAGAGGACCCCTGTTATTAGGCCCAACTACCCACTTCACAAAATAGTGAGCAAGTTCTTCAGGCTGGATGGGATCTTCTTATACCACTCCCTCCCCCAGTCATTGTTCTCTTTTCTTCATAACCATTTTGACAATAATTTCAGAGAGGTTGGTCTGTTGCATAAAAAGAAACAAGAGGTAAAAAGAAACAAGAGAGCCAGTTTGGTGTAGTGGTTAAGTGTGCGGACTCTAATCTGGGAGACCCGGGTTTGATTCCCCACTCCTCCACTTGCACCTGCTGATGTGACCTTGGGTCAGTCACAAGCTCTGGCACAGTTGTCCTTGAAAAAGAGCAGTTTGTGTCAGAGCTCTCTCAGCCCCACCCACCTCACAGGGTGTCTGTTGTGGGGAGGGGAAGGGAAAGGAGTTTGTAAGCCGCTCTGAGACTCCAAGTGAAGGGCGGGGTATAAATCCAATCTCTTCTTCTTCTTGTCACATCATTAAGATTGATGCTACACTTTGAAATGCCACAAGCCTCCAGTTTGTTTGTTTTTTACCATTTTGCCAGTCCAGTCCTATGCTGGTCTTGTTTGGTGTAGTGGTTAAGCGTGCAGACTCTAATCTGGGAGAACCGGGTTTGATTCCCCACTCCTCCACTTGCACCTGCTGATGTGACCTTGGGTCAGTCACAAGCTCTGGCACAGCTGTTCCTGAAAGAGGAGTTTGTGTCAGAGTTCTCTCAGCCCCACCCACCTCACAGGGCGTCTGTTGTGGGGAGGGGAAGGGAAAGGAGCTTGTAAACCGCTCTGAGACTCCAAGTGAAGGGCGGGGTATAAATCCAATCTCTTCTCTTCTAACTCAGAATCTATTCTGTGGGGTTTACTCCTGGTAAGATTTTCTCAGGATTAGGCTAATTGGCTTGTTAGTCAGGTACAGAGTACCTTAAACCTTAGTGAGTTTGTTGTAGTGTAGTCTTTGGTGAGTCATAGCCCAGTTTATCAGATACAGACATGGTGATCCTGGGAAAATTCACCATGAACCAGAGGTGGTTAACTTCCATATTTGGAGTTTTGATTTCTGCTGGTTTGGAGAGGGGCACTGCTGCTTTGTTTTGTTTTTAAAAAATTAGAATATTTTCTTATTCTAAAAAGAAGTCTTCATGAAGTAGAAGAAGTTGCCATGTCACAAACTTAAATGTCTTTTAAAAGAGTTACATGAGGTAACTCAGTGCTCTGTGGGGCAGGAGCTCCATTGGCCTTGTTCTGGATTCCTTTTTGGCTTTCTACCACAAAGTTGGTTTTCATTTTGATTCTGTGATTTTACTAAAAAATATACTCAGGGGAAGATTTCAGTGATATCAAAAAGCTTGCACAATGCTTTGTTGGTTAGATGACCCTAATCCCCTATTTCAGGCATGTCCAACTTCGAACAGGTAGTGATCTATTTTTTCCAGCCAAAAGTGCCGGTGATCAACCACCATGAAAATAAAGTTTCAAATTAGTTTCAAATTAGATTTTAACCCACTAAAGTTGGGTTACACCCCCCACCCCCCAAAACCACACATGCAGTTCTAAAAGTAAAAATAAAAATTCATCATACTGTCACCAATAATCTCATACCACCAAACAATCATAAAAAAACCCCCAAACACCTGTCCAGCAAACCAGGAGACCAAGTGGGGCTGGTGATCTACCTCTGATCCCTCCACGATCTACCTGTTGGACATACCTGCCCTATTTGGTTCCCCTGACCCATGAACCAATCCGTTTTTGTCTACCTAGTTTAGCAAACCATTTAATTCTGGGAAACCCCCCCCCCCATTAAAAGTGAACAGGGTTTGACCAGGTGTGGAAAAGTGGTATAAAGTTAAGCACTGTGTTTCCATCTCCCCTCCCCCCCAATAATTAATTTCTTTTAATTTTAGAGATTGTTGGAAAGTTTAGCCTGGGGGGATGGTTGGTTTGTTTTGTTTGATTATCATTTTGTATTTTATATTTAATTCTGTTTTGTCTAAAAGTCTGTGAGTTGCATAGATGTACCTATTAAGTAGGACAAATCCCTCACACAATGCCCTGTGCAATGACTTCAATGCAAGGACCAATGCTGGTTCTTCTGGGGCCTCAAAGTGTATAAATGATTAGGTCACTTCGCAAGCATGGGTTTTTTTTGCTAAGTCATCTAAGGACCAGCTCCTGAACAAGTCGGATTTGAGATTTCTAGAAATACTATCCTCCCATCATTTGCATTGCCTGCATGGAACTATATATGACTTATCTCATGGCACTTGTACATACTTTCCCGCCCAGGGTGTTAGCACAATAGATTACATCTTGGTCTCATCATTGCTATTACAGTATATCCACCATTTTGAGGTAGGCAATAGGGCTGATAGTGATCACTGCCCCTTAAGGGTGTCATTTGGTTTCTCAGATGCAATATTTCTTAACAGATTGCAGGACCTTCCCAAAGGTGCCCAACAGGGAGCAAGAAGAATCAGGTGATCTGTTCACCTGCATTCTAAAATAGCATACTTTCTGGAAGATTATGTTTTGGGTATCCTAGAACTCTTTGAGGAAATTGTTCGCCAGTTTAGACCCTTCCTCTCTTGCGATAGACCGCTAAAATCCAAAACCCATCCTTCTGTAGGCTGATTTGCTCAGGAGTGTAGAGCAACTAGGAAAGAGCTTGTTCATCAATGTTCCCTCTAAGCTGTGGAATGTTGTGAGCCAAAAATTCTACTTCGTGAGCTGAAAATTCTACTTCATGAGCCAAATAAATATGTCAAAATTGGATATTGATGAGTAGCTATATCCTTAACTGTGGAATGCGATGCTGAGAGTAATGGCAGGGTCTCAGTTAATTACTCTCAGCATTCCACAGTTAAGGATACATCTGCGTATCAATCTCCAATTTTGACATTCTGACATACTTATTTCCTTCACTATGTTTTCCCCCAGAATTAAACCCAAACAAATGGCAACCTAAGCTTGTTTTTCCTGTTTGGCTCTTTACATCTGTTAAACAACTTCATTATGCTGTATGCTAATTTGCTGCCCACCTCCTAGGTGTGCAGGGCAAGTAACTTCGTAAGTTAATCACACGATTAAAAAACAGTCTGATAAGGTCTCCAGGAAACATAGGCATTTGAGAGCAGGTAAGTGTCACTTAAACGAAGAAAGCACAAGCTACAGAATCCTGGAGAGGTAGAGTCTGAGAGTGATATTGGATTTCCAAAATTATTCTTCCTTCCTGTACCTTCTTATAGAGCTCTAGTTCAACCATTCACTTCATCTGCTGCCAACATTTTGTCTTAAAAACACATGAGATTGCAAAAAAGACAGCTTATGTAAGCCACTTAAAGTACCTTGTATGTTCTTGATATTGTTCAATCTGTGCTTAAGGTAAGGAGTCAGATTAAAATTTTAGTGTCAATTAATCATATGTAAACTGCCCTAAACCTGCTACAGCGGGGAGGGCAGGGTAGAAATTAAATAAATAAATAAATAAATAATCAGCCTGCTTCTAAGCCTGAGGACTTTTTTATGAGAATCGCTTTATCCTACTTAATGTTTTATGCTGTTCTGTGCTCTGGACTATTTTTCTAATGGCCATTTTTACAGTAATTTGTTAATTTATTTATTTATTTATCTATTATATTTATACCCTGCCCAACCCGCAAGCAGGCTTAGGGCGGCTAACAAAACGGTACAATGTACCTGGTTGACATACATATAACTTAAAAACTCTATAAAATCTCCTAACAATTACTTTAAAACATAAGTTACAGTTAACAATAAAGTGCAAACAGTATTAGATGGCGTGCTTCCAGATCTCGTTCTGTGTTCTTCCACCGCTCATCATCCTCGCGCCGGAAGGCCTAGCGATACGTCAGGACCAGGTCTAAGATCTGAGCAATCGCTAGGATTGTTGGTGGTAACAGTAGTGGCGGCTCCTTTTGAAAGGCCTGGTGGAAGAGCTCCGTCTTTCAGACCCTGCGGAACTGTAAAACGTCCCACAGGGCCCTGATCTCCTCCGGGAGCTCGTTCCACCAGTAAGGAGCCGCCACAGAAAAGGCTTTGGTCCTGGTACTGGTGAGCCTTGCCTCCTTGGGGCCCGGAATAGTCAGCCGGTGCTGGGCCCCAGACCGTAGTGCTCTCTGGGGTATATATGGGCGAAGGCGGTCCGTCAGGTACATTAATTGTAATGATTCTGTGCTGTATTATGGTTGTGTCCAATGTTCCCTCTAAGATGAGTTAGTGTGAGCTAGCTCACAGTTTTTTAGCCTCCGGCTCACACATTTCTGTCTTTGCTCAGGAAGGACAGCTCCAGGGCGAACTCATTTATGCAGCAGCCAAATCGCTCGCTCACAACTTTAATGCCGGTAGCTCACGAAGTACAATTTTTGCTCACAAAACTCCACAGCTTAGAGGGAGCATTGGTTGTGTCATGTTTTATTTTGTAAACCACTTTAAGTAGGTTCTTTGGAGAGTTGGCATATAAATTTTCTAAATGAATCATATGAATACATAATAAGAACATAAGAGACGCCAATGTTGGATCAGGCCAAAGGCCCATCCAGTCCAACCCTCTGTATCACACAGTGGCCAGAAATACCAGTGCCATCAGGAGGTCCACCAGTGGGGCCAGGACATTAGAAGCCCTCCCACTGTTGACCCCCCCAAGCACACAGAGCATCACTTGCCCCAGAGTCCCTATCTATACCTTGTGGCGAATAGCCACTGATGGACCTCTGCTCCATATGCTTATCTAATTCCCTTTTGAAGCCGTCCATGCTTGTAGCCGCCACCACTTCCTGTGGCAGTGAATTCCATGTGGTAATCACTCTTTGGGTGAAGAAGTACTTCCTTTTATCCATTCTAACCCGACCGCTCAGCAATTTCATTGAGTGCCCACGAGTTCTTGCATTGTGAGAAAGGGAGAAAAGTACTTCTTTCTCTACCTGCTCTATCCCATGCATAATCTTATAAACCTCAATCATGTCACCCCTCAGTCGTCGTTTCTCCAAGCTAAAGAGGCCTAAGTGGTTTTTACTGTAATATGTAGTACTGCTCGGGCAGCTATCATTATATTGTTATAGCCTTTGGCTTCATGCAATACAATTCTACCTCCCTTCGAAAGAACTCTCAGGTCGGTTTAATAAAATTCCCCCTCATGAAAGGTTATGTTCTTGTCCTTTAAAATCCATGGACTCAATATATCATATTATTTTTGACTGCCAATTTCACTCAGTCTTACACAAAGAATTGTCATCTTTATTTCCTCCTAATCCTTATTCTATTAGCCAGGTTTTTTTTTCTGTGCTAATACTCATTTCCACCAACAGGGGGCTCACTCTTCCCCAACAGCTTTTCCTACATAGTCAGTAGACTTCCTGGGTTTGTAGAAAAATCCAAAAACTAAAAAAATCCTTTCAGAGATGGCTGAATCCCCCCCAAAAAACCTTTTGAAATGGCCTCTGCAGGGCTCTAACTCCAGACATCAACGTGAGAGATTAGAATGTTGGGGGGGGGGCCTTCTAACTGGCTCTGTCAGTAAAAGGGTGGGGGAAGGGCCCTTTCCAGGACTCTTTTGGCCTTTTGGGGAGGGAGGGAGGAAGGGAGCCTTGGGGCCAGGCCTCACAAGAGTTGCCAGTGCCAGGCTGGGGGATTTCTAGAGATTTTGTGGTGGACTCTAAGGAGGGCTGGCCCTGGGTTTGGGAAGGGAGAAGCCTCAGCTGGGTATAATGCCACAGAGTCCACCCTCCAAAGCAGCCATTTTCTGCAGGGAGACAGACCTCTGCTGTCTAGAGTCCAGTTGTAATTCTGGGGGGTCTCCAGGTCCCATTTGGAGGTTGGCAACTCTAGGCCTGGCAGTAGTCTAGGGTTGCCAGGTCCCCCCTGATTTGCATGACTCACCTAGCCTTGGCTGCTTGCTACCGTTCATCAGCAGCCACCCTATGAAAGCCAGTAAGGTGCAGCAGTTAGAGCTTCAAAGTAGGGTGGAAGCTGACTGTGTGATTTTGGACCAGTCACATATTTCAGCCTAACAACAGGGTTGTTGTGCAGATAAAAAAGGAGGTGTGAATAATGAAAGCTGCTTTGGTCCCCACTGTGGAGAAAGACTGTAATTTTCCTAGGTAGAGGCTGGGGGGTGGAGATGGAAAGCAGAAGACAGAGAGGCAGATAAAGGTAGGTTGGCTGTTGGGTGGGAAGGAAATAGGGTTGCCAACTCCAGGTTGGGAAATTCCTGGACATTTGAGGGGTGGAGCCTGGAGAGGGTGAGATTTGAGGTGGGGAGGAACTTTGGACTGGTGTGATGTCATAGACTCCACCCTCCAGCCATTTCCTCCACAAGAACCACCATTGCCAGCTTCCAGGTGAGGACTGGAGATCACTCAGAATTACAACTGTTGTCCAGGCGACAGAGATCAGTTTCCCGGGATAAAATGGCTGTTTTGGAGAGTTGAGTCTATGGCATCATACCCTGCTGAGACTGCTTGCCACCCCAAGGGTCCACCCCCAAATCTCCAGGAATTTCCCAACCTGGAGCTGGCAGCCCTAATGGTTAGAATAAAGCGTTGATGGAATAGCTTGCCAATAAATGAAATAACTTTGATTTTTTTAAAAAACAAGTTGTTTTTTTCAATCTCATTGAAATGTTAAATATTGGCATTACAGTATAATGGAGTAAGGAGGGGAATGAATAGGAAAAACTGTCTGGATCCAAACCTGTTGCTTTCTTTTCAAAAGATGAAAGACAGCACACAAACAAGTTGGAGGGAATACAACCCCCAGAAGTACCAGCTGTGGGTGGTGTGCCCCAATGTCTGAGCACCTTCCTATGACATTAACACCTTGAATCCGTTTGCGTGAAGAATCGGCCTATGTTTCGAACTTAGTTGCTCAGAAAGACAGATTGCTGTTGATCGAGGTCTCCTTCCTCAGCATATGGAGCTAAAGGAGAAATTATTTTTCCTTACTCTTCTTCCCAAGGCAGCTTGCCTTGTTCTTGTCTCCTCCATTTTACCCTCACCTCCCTGTGAGGTAGGTTAGGCTAGCAGCATGCCAGAGGTGTGCTGACCGCATGTTTGGGAAGCATGCACATCGCCAAAAGGTCCTTGTAATATACCAGCCTGGGAGGAGTTGTATGTAAATGGGCCGTATGGGTAGGGCGGGATATAAATCCCAAAATAAATAAATAAACAACAACGATTTAATCTTTAATTAATGTAATTCTTCTGGCAGTTTTGGGAGTCATTGATGTGGCAAACTACACTGCAAGAATCCAGCTCATAACACAAGCAAAATATTTCTCATGTGGAGGGGGAATGGACTGTATTCTGGTGCATACAAATTGCTGGCATGTACTGTGAGAAGAGGTGTTTTGTCCAGCAGCACCTGGATGGAAATGGAGAGTGAAGGTTGCATGGATCATCCATAGGTGACCCTCTTTGCCTACCAACCAAGATGTCATTCTGAAGGAAGAGTCAGTGGGGTATAGTGTTTAAAGCTAGGATGTGGGAGCTCCGGGTTCAGATCCCCACCCTGCCTTTGAAGCCCGCTGAGTGACTTCGGGCCAGGTACACAGGTTAACCTACATTGCAATGTTGTGAGAATAAAAAGGAGGTGGTGAGAATGCTTTTGCAAGCTGTTTTCAAGCCCCTTTGGGGAGAGAAGTGAGATATAAATGCCTAAAAAAAAAAGGAGGGGGTTTGCAGTTGGGTGGGTGGGACATTGTTCTCTGGTAGAGTTACATTGCCTTGCATAACGAACCTTGTACGCATCTTCTTTCTGATGTACCAGAAGTCATGGTCTTGCTTCGCATTGCTGCCCTTTTGCTATTGGCTGGGCTGAGCAAAGGGGAGGATTTCCCCTTCAAGGACCCAACCTTGCCTTGGGAGAAGCGGCTGGATGACCTGGTGAACCGGCTGACACTGGAAGAGATGGTCTTGCAGGTAAGAAAAGGGGTTTCAGCCAAGTTGGCAGGTGGTGGGTGAGACTGAGATAGAGTTGCCAATTCTGGATTGGGAAATTCCTGGGAATTTGGGGGTGGAGCCTGGTGAGAGAGAGGTTTGGGAGAGACCTCAGCGGGGTATAATGCCACAAAGTCCGCCCTCCTAAGCAGCAGTTTTCTCAAGGGGAACTGAGGAGAGAAAGGTATTTAAGCATCAATTGGACACCTATTCACCCAAGATTATAGCTGTAGTTCCTGAATTGGCAGGCCTTTGGACAAGATGACCTGGGTGGTCCCTTCCAACTTTCATATTAAATAAATAAATAAATATCTCCGTTGTCTGGAGATCAGTTGTTATTCCAGGAGATCTCCAGGCCCCACCCAGAGAATTGGGGGGGTTAGAAAACTATATTATGGTGCCATGCAGATGTTCAGTTTATGGATTGGGATTTTATGAATTTGGTTGTGCACCGCCCTGAACCTGCATGCAGGGAGGGCGGTACAGAAGCCCAACGAAATAAATAAATAATGGGAACCCAATACCGAATATGCCCTGGAGAAGACATGGAAATTGTGCATAGGAGTGGTCAAGCTGGTGAGCTTGGAATTGGGCCTCTATAAAAGGTAAAGGTAAAGGTTCCCTTGCTCAAAAGCCAGTGGAATCCGACTCTAGGGTTGCGGTGCTCATCTCCGTTTCAAAGCCGAAGAGCCAGCGCTGTTCGAAGACGTTTCCGGGGTCATGTGGCCGGCATGACTAAACGCCAAGGCGCACGGAACGCTGTTACCTTCCCACCAAAGTGGTACCTATTTATTTACTTGCAATGTCTTGCTTTCGAACTGCTAGGTTGGCAGGAGCTGGAACTAGAGACAGGAGCTCACTCCGTCATGCGGCAACTCAGGTCTTGAACTGCTAAACTGGGCCTCTATAGCATCCTGCAAACCCCTCCAAAGTCCCTCTTGTTTCAAATTGTGCCTGAGCTGTACCATGTTCTGTACCTCCCCTTATCTAATTTTGGATTTTCATCCTGTGCTTCTTTTTCTTTTTTGGTGAGTATTTGTGTGTGTGTGCCCGCGTGTGTGTGCCTGGAAGTTGTGGTTGACTTCTGGTGACCCCTTGTAGGGTTTGGTCTTTTCAGAGAGGTGGCTTACTGTTGCCTGCCTCTGCATCCCAGCCCTGGTCTCCCTTCCAAGTACTTTCCAGGGTCGGCCCTGCTTAGCTTCCAAGATCTGACGAGATTGGGCTTGCCTGGGCTATCCAGGTCAGGGCCATCCTGTGCTTTTGAAGCCCATTATATCAATATGCCAATTGTTGATTTAAAAAAACAACAACAGCCACCCAAAAAAGCCTCTGCTGGCATGCAGGTGTGTGTTTGTGTGGAGAGAGAATTGCTGTGTCAGGGGCAGGCTGCTGTGTATTGAAAGGTTGGAGGGTGCTGAGGGGACACCCCGTTCGCAGCCTGAAGCCCTGGTGTCTCTTTTCCTCCAGATGTCCCGAGGGGGTTCCAAGAACAATGGGCCAGCACCCCCCATTGAGCGACTGGGCATTGGGCCCTACAACTGGAACACGGAGTGTCTGCATGGGGATGGGTTTGCCCCTGGCTGGGCGACTGCCTTCCCCCAGTCGCTTGGTTTGGCTGCATCCTTCAGGTATGTCCTTCAGGGAGAGGCCATGGCTCAGTGGAAGAGCCTCTGTTTTGGATGCCGAAGGTCCCAAGGTTCAGTCCCTGGCATCTTCAGTTAAAAGGACAAGGCAGTAGTCCTGTGAAAGGCCTGGACTTATAGCCAGTCTGAGTGGACAGTGACTTTGGCCAATGGTCTGATTCAGAATAAGACAGCTTCATATATGTGTCTCCTGCTATTGGGGTAGGATGAGATGGGGTGGCCCTCAAAGCCCCCTCTAAGCTGTGGAGTCTTGCGAGCAGAAATTCTATCTTGTGAGCTACTGGCATTAAAGTTGTGAGCGAGTGATTTGGCTCCTGCATAAATTAGTTTGCTCTGGAGCCATCCTTCCTGAGCGAAGACAGAAATGTGTGACCTGGAGGCTAAAAAACTGTGAGCTAGCTCACACTAACAGCTTAGAGAGAACAGTGCTATCCTCCAGGGAAAATCAAACTGGTTTCAGCTTTTCCCCTTCCTGATCTTCCCAAAGGAAGATTGCCAGCAGACCAGTGTTGTTTTTGGTTGTGGCTGCCGTTTCTCTAAGAGTTATCTTTTTTGTTTGTTTTTATAACAGACAGAAATTGAACATTGTCCCCCAACATTACGCTGGGAGAAACTACCCTGGCTGCATTCTGACTTTTTCAAAGTCAGCTGGAACCCAGCTAAAAAAACAAAAGTGTCAGAGATGATCCCTTTCTTTGAGCTGCTTTGATGAAGTATGGCCGGAGACAGATGGCTGGAAAAGCATTCTCTCTTCATCCACATGCAGAGCTGCCTTATACTGAACCAGATCCTTGGTCTATCAAGGACAGTCTTGTCTGCTCTGGCTGGCGGCAGCTCCCCAAGGTTGCCGGCAAAGGTCTTTCCCATCACTTACTACCCAATCCTTAATTAGAGATGTCAGGATTTGAAACGGGGACTTTCTGTATGCCAAGCAAATGTTCTGCCACAAGGCCACAGTTCTAATGCTTGATGCTTCTTGCATTTCCGAGTGGATATAGTTTCAAAGGTCTGTTTGGTCGTCAGGAACAAAAGGGGTATGTGTGTATGCCACGAAGAGCAACATTGGTTCCTTCAGGCCACAGCTAACTCTCTGAAAAGCTGTTTTCTGATCTAGTTTTGGCTCAGGTGGTAAATTTGTGTCTCAGCTGTAAACCTGCTGATGGAGGGTTGTGTATTTTGAAGGTTCTTCTATGTGGAAAATCTCTCTACATGTAGAATGTTATGTTTGGAACAAGGCTAGGCTACAACTGATTTTTATCTGTGGGAAAGCATTCTGTCACCGGGGGAAGGGGGCCTGGCTCACAATGGTACTCACTTCGTGACTTGTGGAGAGCTGTACTTGCAATTACTCTCAACCAAGATACTTGCAGTTTACCTGTTCATCCACCAATGGCTCTTTCAAGGAAGGAACCAGCTGCCAGCCACAAGCCCCATCAGGCAACAGTCTTCCCAAGTTTCCTGAAACATGGAGTGGGTACCATATTGAGGAACAGTACTCAGAGAAGCCACAGGTGGCATGTCAAGGTGGCTCCTTAGCCACTGAGTATCATTGTTCTAGAGGTTGCTCCACTTCTAGAGATGTCTAGAAATTTTCCACACACAAAAAAGGACTCCCCCCCCCCCAAGGACTCCCTCAGTTTTTCCAGTGGAGAAACTGGAAATTTTGGGAAGCATTGGAAAACACTCCAGTGAAATATGTTCTGTTTCAGAATGAGTAAAATGCTTTTTGAGATGAGGTTTTTATTCATGTTTAAGACAGTCAGGGCTCTAGTCGGGGGGGAGCTCTCAGGTACGGAGCTCCGGAAGAGAACCTCTAGGGGGCGGGGCGGTCACGTGGTGAAGCCCCGCCCCCTTCTTTACCCCGCCCTCTGCTTCGATCCTCATTCCGTTTGGGAATGAGGATGAAGCAGGAGGGTAAGTAGCCGGGCCTTCTGACACACTTCCGGTGATGTCAGGGGGTGTGGCCTTCTGTCACTTCCGGTGATGTCAGGGGGCGTGGCATATGCAAATAAGTTATGCTAATGAGTTATGCTAATGAGCTCCGGCAGCTCTTTTTCTACAACAAGACCCCTGAAGACAGTCTACAGTTTTATAGAATGGTAACTGTTGTATATACTGTAGTCATATACAACATATTTTTAAACATATATGTATTGTTTAAATGTGTGCTAGTTTTGTCCACAGTTAATATGCAGTAATATATATAATAATAAGCTCCAGAAGTTGTTTGTGTACTAAAATTTTACCTGATATCTAAATATGCTGCTAGCCCTAGTGTGAACGTATGAGAGTATTTATGTCCAAATAATATACTTTCATTTGTTTATTACAAAAATTGTTTTCTCCATGTTTCGTCTTTTATTTTTCCTGCCTGCCAGATAATCAAAACTCTGCTATTATATGTTTAAAAAGGCACAGGGTGCAGGAGTTTGCTGTGCATGCACACTCTCTCTCTCTCATATTGAACAATTTTTTCACTCTTGCTTATAGAAAACCAGGTGTTTATCATTTTAACTTACACAAATATGCTAAATGATACAATTATATTTGCTAGCTGAATACATAATTGATACATTTGTGGTAAAACAGTAAAATAAATGTGGATTTGCTAAGAAAGTATTGCATATAGTTTTCCCCTCAAAGTTTCATTTTTTTCCTGGGGGGAAATGTTGTATTTCCCCCCCCCTCACATCTTCAGAAATTTCAGAAATTTCACACTCTAGCAGTTCCACATGTTTACCACTTAAGTATCAACTACATCTACACATAATTGGTCTTGTGCTTCCATTGCAATATAGCAATAATTCACAATGGGATTTTCGTGTGTGCTCAAGCAACTCTTCAGCACAAGATCCAACAATGTAGCCTATGCAGCTGTTCTCTTCAGACTCAAAGAACCTTTTCTCTTCCCTTCTTAGCCTGTTTCTTTTCTCTCCCAACAGCCCTGAACTCATCCATCGCGTGGCCAATGCCACGGCCACAGAAGTTCGAGCCAAACACAACCATTTTGTCTCCCTTGGTTACTATGGGGACCATACAGGCCTCAGCTGCTTCAGCCCCGTATTAAACATCATGAGGCATCCACTATGGGGCAGAAACCAGGTATCATGATCCCAAAATGGGGGGAAGTTCTCTTTTTCGGGGAATACAGGGTAAGTGGAGGCCAAGTAATCCTACAGTGAGAGATACCAAATACCAGAACATTATAGTGTCGAGTTTCACAAACAGTTACTCTGGTAGCTGTAGCCAGTGAGGGCTAAAGTACTGTATTCAGACTGAAGCCTTCTGAATTCAAGAACTGAGGGGCTGTGGCTCAGTGGCAGAGCCTCTGCTTGGCATGTAGATGGTCCCAGGTTCAATCCCCACATCTCCAGTTAAAAAAGACCACATGTAGGTGACATGAAAAACCTGTACCAGAGCCCCTGGTCTGATAGTATAAGGCAGTTTCGTGTGTTTTGACCAAACATTTCACTCATGCAGCCAAGCCTGAAGTAACAGTGTGGTTTGTAATCTCTTTCTCCCCAGATTCTTTCTATTTTAGGAGCTTTTGCGCCTGAAAGCTAGGACCAAACTACGTAATGGCACTGAAGAGTTTTCATCTATTTATTCATTTTTTTAAAAACAACTCTTATTTGCCTTACTCCATTAAAGGAGCCCAGAGCAGCTTAACCCCCCCCCCCATATATAATAAATATCAACAATAACTAAAATACCTTTAAAACATCAGTGTTTTGGGATCTTTGGCTGTTTAAATGAGCAGCAAAAAGCTGACCAAGAGAAGGAGGATGTGAAATCCAGTGGTTGTTGGCTGGGGGTGGTGGTTAACTTAGTTGGATATCCCACTGAAACTTAGTCCCTGGGATGGAAAAAGGTACGTGATGGTATTGTGCCTTCATTTTTCTCTTTCGGATCTAAAGAAGCCCTTGGGGGCATTTCTGATTGGGAAAAGACAACGGGGGAGAGGTAACTCTCCTATCCCCCAAATTGTGGCCATTATCTGTATTCTCCCTTCCCCAAAACTGATTTTTGCAGCTCAGTTATTATACACGGGAGTGGGTGGGATCTGAACACACAAAGCCTTGTTGGCATGTTACAGTGAACCAGCATGTACATACATGAACCTCTTTCTTTTTTTGGTGTAGTGGTTAAGAGCGGTGGACTCTAATCTGGAGAACCAGGTTTGATTCCCCACTCCTCCACATGCAGCCAGCTGGGTGACCTTGGGTCAGTCACAGCTGTCTCAGAGCTCTCTCAGCCCCACCTACCTCCCAGGGTGTCTGTTGTGGGGAGAGGGAGGGAAGGCGATTCTAAGCTGTTCCAGGACTCATTGGGGTAGTGAAGGGCAGGGTATAAAACCAACTCCTCCTCCTCCTCCTCCTCCTCCTTCATTAAAATATTTATGCCCTGCCTTACAATAATAGTTTAGTCAACCAGTATAACAGACCCCAAATGTCTTGCTCCCCCAAAAGGTGCCTCCCTAGCTTGCTGCCGAGGACTGTAGTTCTCTCACTAGTTGTACCAGGTAGGTGCATTGGTGACGGAACTGAGAGACAGAGAGGGAGGATGACCCATGTTTGTTTGTCCATTTCTTCCTCAGGAAACCTACGGGGAGGATCCATTCCTGACTTCCCAGCTGGCCGTGGCTTTTGTGACTGGATTGCAGGGCGATCATCCCCGCTACGTCAAGGCCAGTGCTGGCTGCAAACACTTTGATGTCCACGGGGGCCCTGAGAACATCCCTGTGTCCCGTCTTCAATTTAATGCTAAGGTGAGCATGGTGGTAACAGTTGATGGTAGGCACATTTTTGTCTTAGCTCAGGAAGGATGGTTCCAGAGCAAACTAATTTATGCAGTGGCTAAATCGCTTGCTCACAACTTTAATGCCAGTAGCTCCACAAAGTAGAATTTTTGCTCACAAGCAATGTTCCCTCTAAGTTGAGTTAGTGTGAGCTAGCTCACAGCTTTTTAGCCTTCGGCTCACGCATTTTTGTCTTAGCTCAGGAAGGATGGGACTCCAGAGCAAACTAATTGATGCTGCAGCCAAACTACTTGCTCACAATTTTAATGCCAGTCGCTCACAAAGTAGAATTTTTGCTCACAAGACTCCACAGCTTAGAGGGAACCTTGCTCACAAGACTCCACAGCTTACAGGGAGCATTGGCTATGGTAGAGGTTTATAAACTATGCATGGGGTAGAGAGAGTAGAACTTTTTCTTCCTCTCCCAAAATACTAGAACTATGGGGCACCCAGAGCAGAGTAGATTCAGGATGAACAAAAGGAAATATTTCTTTACTCAATGAGTGATTAAAATATGGAATTTGCTGTTTTTGGTGCGATGAGAATGGTTGGCTCCGGGACTCGCTCCCATGAAGCCACCAGATCACTGGATTCTTAAGAGGAGTTCAGGGGCTCCTGAACTCCAGTGAGCTCCACGAAGAGGGGCTCATGGCAAGGGGCTTGACTCAGACTCCCCGCGAGGGGTGGCAAGCGGGTGGAAGTCCGAGACTGCCCTCAGCAAGATCCAAGTGACAGCGTCCATAGCAGCTATGGATGTGACGTCGTGACTCTCGGGACGAGGGGGAAGTAAAACATCTCTACAAACAATATAAAGAAGATAAATCACCGTGAGTAACCCTAACTGCAACAATATTAGGAATTTCCTACAGATCAAGCTCTTTAAACTGTTTGAAGGGGGGGAAGGGAGGGGTGAAGAATCCCCCCCCCCGTTTTAAAGCAACTAAGGCTGCGGTCACATGGAACATTAGCCACGCTACAGAGACGGAAGATAGGTGTATTTTCCGGGGGCGATCACAGCACAACATCTGGGAAGCGTAGCGCTCCCGTGGCGAACCCGAGGCTTCCCGCCGAAGATGCGGGGTAAAAAACTAGTACCTCCGAGGTACTAGTTTCCGGAAACCACGGGGCAAGGGCGGGCACCTGATCACGTTTCCGGTGGAATCCCGTGGCATCTGACGCCCGCCCATGTCCCATCGCAAACAGGTTTTTTTCCCCAAGTCTCCACAGGATGCGCACAAGCGCCCAACGGCGCATGCGCACAAAGAGGCCCACTGCAGCCAGGCTTGCCACCTCTGTAGGGTCGCAATGGCCACTGTCGCGCAGGCGGTTAGAGCGGCTGTGACGAGGGGGCCCACCTTCCCCTCCATTGGTTATGCCTCGGAGCTCTGTTGGGGTCCGGAAGTGTCTGTCGCCCTCTCCAGTAAGCCCACCACCCGCCTTCGGATGTGCAGATACGATTGCTCAGTCATGCGTATGCACAAACTTCAGTTTTAAAAAAATCCATCCCGTTTGCCATGGAAGCGGGGCCTAGTGATTGCTGGTGTGATCGCGCCGCACCGCTTCTTTGCCGCACTGCAGGATCATTGTGTGATTGGCTCCTGCCCCCTAACCACGGGACCTCCACGGGACCTCGAAGGGACGTCTGATCACGCAACCGTGCATTATTTTCCTCCGGGGCAAACAGCCACGCTTCCCCCCCGCATTTTCCGGCCCGTATGACCGGGGCCTAAGAAGAGAAGAGAAAGGAGCTTCCTTGATAAATTTACTGTCTGAGAAGAAAACTGTGAAATAGACTTATAAATGTGATTTTATTATATTTTGGATTACAAAACCATATTGTGGATTTTATAACTTTGGAACTTTATTTCCCCTGGAATTATAACTGTGCCACATGGATTTATAGAAAGACACCTAATTTGGATTATAAACATTGACATCTGATTATTTGGACCATAAACTAAAGCAAGGAGAAAGAAGAAAGAATTAATGATCTGTTAAACATTTAGAGGGCTCTCCCCCCAAATGGCGGCAGAATAGTAGCACTGGTACAACGCTCCGCAAGTGATTTTATTTTCATGCTTTTATCTTACTTAAAACCTTCTGCTTAGTAATTTGCTGCTTAGTAATTTGCTGCTTAGTAATTTAAAGCTGCTGTTTTAAAGAACCTGTCTCTTGCCTTGGCAAATAGAAGGGGAAGCTGTGGAAGTAGTGACAGACTTCACGTTCCTGGGATCCCAGATCACCGCAGACTGTGACAGCAGTCATGAAATTAAAAGACGCCTGCTCCTTGGGAGGAAAGCGATGGCGAACCTCAACAGCATGATAAAAAGTAGAGACATCACCCTGCCAACAAAAGTCCGCATGGTCCAAGCAATGGTATTCCCAGTAGTCATGTATGGCTGCGAGAGTTGGACTATAAGGAAGGCCGAGCGCCGAAGAATAGATTCTTTTGAACTATGGTGCTGGAGAAGACTCTTGAGAGTTCCTTGGACTGCAAGGAGATCAAATCAGTCAATCCTAAAAGTAATCAACCCTGACTGTTCCCTGGAAGGCCAGATAATGAAACTGAAGCTCAAATACTTTGGCCACCCAATGAGAAGGGAGCACTCACTGGAGAAGACCCTGATGCTGGGAAAGATTGAAGGTCAAAGAAGACGGGGACGGCAAAGGATGAGATGGTTAGACAGTGTCATAGATGCAACGAACATGAAATTGAGCAAACTTCAGAGGACGGCGGAAGACAGGAGGGCCTGGCGGGAGCTGGTCCATGGGGTCACGAAGAGTCGGACTCGACTGTGCAACTGAACAACAACAACAACTCTTGTAATCAGCCTCAAATCCCTACTCACTTCAGCATTACAAATAATACAGGCTTGTTAATAAAGAGGCTGTGGGCTGATGAAGGAAATTTTGCAAACTTTGGGGGTCATTCTTTTAAATATTAATTGCTGACCAGGTGTAAGACTCTACAGTAACTAAGATGCAATAAGTCCATTTATAGATTTTATTAGCAATCAGGAAAGTTGCAGGTGAATCAAAGGCTTTGACAGAACTGGCAGGCAATACAAGTTTAGTTCTTACGAGAACTTTGGTGCAGCCCACATTCATATGTCATGGTTACACGTGATAGAGACAGGTTAACAAAGTACAATTAAAACTGTGAGAATGTTTATCTAACAGACTTCCTGCAAGGCCAAGAGACATCATGAGAAGCAAACAATCTCCTGGCCACTGTGGAGGAGGTTTCCCATAAAACAGTACCAAGCGCACTATCTACAATAGACAACCAAGCATGTCTCAACTACCCCCTCATCCTGAGAGGAGGACTTTGTATAGGAGTTGATTCATTGCTAGCAGGTGTTACAATCAGCCTGAGAACAAGAAGCCAGTGTGAGAATACAAAGATTACTTTTGGGATAGTATGCAAGCAAGCAGGGCAATTAGCTATGTACATCAGAACACCAGTGCGTATCCAGACTGACCCCAACTCAAGGGTCAGAGGACATAAGGCTATAGTACAGCTGCAACGATAAGAATAAGAATGGGTCCAAATAAAAGGATGTGTGATTTAGAAGACACAACAACACCTCCTGCTAGTAAGCAGAAAAGAATTTCGGAAGAGACTTTCTTTAATCTTCCTACTGCAAACCGCTATGCTCCTTTGGCAGAAATGAAGAACTCTGACGAAACTACTATGGTGGAAACTACTATGGTCCCGCCTCCCTCTTCGCCTCTCGTCGCCATCTTTTGGGAATGTTTACATCAGCCGAGAAAGAATGCCAAAGTCTCTAAGGTCTGTTTAAACGCTCCGCTTTCTTTTAGAAAAACTCTCTGCTACTTAGGCAGTTTTGATGTCTTGTTTTACAGGAAACCTGGACCCAAGATCCTACCTCCATAACCCTCCAGGGCTACAGAACATATGCTACACCAGCAAAAAAGATACATTTTAAAGGGCGGGGTGGTGGTGGCTTAGCAATATTAGTTACTGTATATTTAAAAGTAGAAATCCAAGTTTTCAAAAGTATTTGTCCAAACTACATACAGATATTATTAATTAAGGGGCAGCATATAACTCCCCTCTTGTGTATCAATGTCTATTTGCCATCAAAATCTTCTAAAGTTTTGGATAAAGAGAAATTGTGGGACCATTTATTTATGACACTTGAAGATCTAGTGTCCCAATATCCTAGAACTAATATGATATTAGAGGGGACTTTAACACTAGGATAGGCTCAGGAAATATTGAATTATGTAAGGATACTCATACCTATGTAGCTGAACAAGCATCTCTTGTGAATCGCCACTCAGTAGACTCTGTAATTAGTAAATCTGGGCTCAAACTTCTAGAGTTGTTCTCCACGTTTAATCTTTATGTCCTGCATGGGACAAGTTTTGACAAGTCTGGAGGTCCTTATACATATCTATCCTCAGTATATGCCAGCACAATAGATTATTCAGCTGTTTCACCTGCACTTTTAGACCAAGTCAACTATTTTGAAGTAAGTGGATTATTGTCCACAATTAGTGATCATTGTCCACTAAAGCTAGTTTTAAATTTTAATAATTGTATTCTTTTGGCCTCTACATCTGACCCCACTGTAGATTTAACCCCTGGCTACAGGAGACATAGGTGGTCAGAACAGCTACAAAAAACAGTGCAGGTTGCTTTGGAGAGTGCTGAAATTAAGAACAGGAGACAAGTTCTATCAGGATCAGAAGCAAATATTATTCAACACTATGAAGAAATTGTACAAGTTATAAAGCCATTGCTTATCAATGATAGACCCCCGAATACTCACTACTGCTGTTCTACAAATGGGGGGTACGACTTTGAATGTAGAAACTTTAAGAAACTAATAACCAAACAAATGAGACTAACTAGACAAAGTAAAGAGCCCCATTAACTCCAACAATTAAACACAGTTAGATCCCAATATAAGAGCCTGCTTAAATTGATGGATGCACTGATAAGTGGAAATACCTGGTTTGAGTATTTTACAAAAATCTATGAAGCCACCCCATTTATGTCAGAATCAGCAGAAACAGGGGAATGGGCTGTTTCTAATGAATTGCAACCATTACCAGAGTGGCCTCCAGTGACAGAATCTGAAATCGCAACCCTTATTAACTCTTTGGCTTCAGGTAAATCACCCGGAGAGGACTTGATTCCTTCAGATTTAATAAAAGCCTTTCCCAGGTGGTGGACCCCAATACTCACTAAACTGTTTAACCAAATAAATAACACGGGCATATTCCCAATAGAGTGGAAAACCAGTATCCTAGTCCCCATACATAAAAAGGGGGACGAAGCAGACCCTAAAAACTATCGCCCCATAAGCCTCCTTGATACAGCACCCAAACTGTATGGGAAATATCTTCTGCAAAAACTGGAGGACTGGATTGCTGATAATAATATCATATATCCCTAACAGGCAGGATTTAGAAAGGGCCAAGGGACAATTGACAATTGCCATACTCTTTATCAGCTGGCTCACTTAGCCATAAAAGGTCCAACTAAAGCCTTATACACTGTGTTCATTAATTTGGCCACAGCCTTTGATTCAATTGATAGAAACCGACTCTGGGACAAACTGACGAAAATTAATGGTCCTAGACTGTTGTTCTTTTATGCAAAAATTAGAGTAGGTACCTCAGGCTCAATGACCAGCAAAATACCGACTTGCAAAGGAGTCAAGCAGGGCTGTGTGTTAGCCCCTGTACTTTTTAATTTCTATATAAATGATATTGTAGTAAGACTAACCGGCCAGGAATTTGTTCCACCAACATTAGGTCAACAAAAATTATCAATATTAGTATATGCAGATTATATGGTCCTAGTTTCTCTAACCAGGATTAGATTAAAGAGGCTTTTGGATAACTTGGGGGACTACTGTACAGAAGAAAAGCTTACCATCAACTACTCAAAAACTAAAGTAGTGGTCTTTCAAAAAAAGCCTAAAAAGTATTCTTGGAGTATACAAGGTACTCCAATAGAACAGAGTAAAAATTACAAATATTTGGGTCTAATATTCAGTGAAACCTTGAGCTGGAATGCCCACATTGCCTCCTTAAAATCTTCAGCAAATAAGATCATTGGTGTGGTACTGGGATTCTGTTACAACAAGGGAGGTCTACTAATAGATCCAGCCCTTAAACTTTTTGTGAGCAAAGTAATCTCGCATATACTATATGGTATAGAATTTTGGGAGTTGAAAGAACAAACGCTTTCTAGCTTGGAGGTAATCCAAAATCTTTTTTTAAGGCATATCTTGGTACTTCCAAAAGGGACACCAGGAGCTCTGTTAAGGGCAGAACTTGGCCTCCCCTCAGTTAGGGCTCACACTCATCTAGCTATACTAAAATCATGGAAGAAATACCAATTGATGCAAACTGAATCTCTTGGTAAACTTAGCTATTGTTTGTCACTAAGTAAAGATAAAATTCGCTCTGATTTTGTTCATAACATCATTTCCCGTTATACAATTCCAGATGTTTTACTGCGATCTTTAGGGAATAACCACGATCTGAGGCAATGTGTGTTTAATGGAGATACCATAATAGATTATTCTTTAATCACTCAGTCAAAATTTGCTCCCTGGTACAAAGACATAAAGAAAGATCATTTAAGAGCTGCATACCTAGTAAATATTATCGCATACAAGATTAGATCAGCATTCACAGCATTGCGTTTCCAGACTATGCCAACAGAATTACTCCTGGGACGATACTTAAAAATACCCCAGGAACAACGTATTTGTATTTGTAAAATTTCTGTGGAGGATCTTTTTCATTATGTCATGGTCTGCCCATTGTACTGGGAACCAAGATGTAAATTCTTGACTGCAATAACAGATCAATTGCAAAAAATTTCTGACGCCAAGCATTTAACAACTTAGATTGAGTATGTCAGCGTCTATAGTCGCCATCTTGTGTATCTTATAATGTGTGTTTTATAATGTCGGTAAACCGTGATTTTGTATTTAATGTATTGTATGCTGTTTTACAGGTATTGTTTTACTGTTTTACTGTTGTAAGCCGCCCTGAGCCGCTTCGGCGGGAGGGCGGGATAAAAAATTAATTAATTAATTAATTAATATTTCTGCTGTCAGATGCAGACCCTACAGTTTCCTAAAGGGTAGCACTCTTCGCCTTAGCAGCTAGTAAAATCAGGGCCAAGAACATAGGAAAATGAAATGAAATTGAACTTTAAATCAGCAATGTAAAACAGCAATGTGTATGTGTTTCTGGAGATAGGCATCTATATTTAAGATTTTAATCAATTTAAATACTGAATGTGCAGATTTTATAGCTTATTATATTTTAAATTAAATTCAAATTCCAGTGCTGTAAGTTGTCTTAATTTGTATATTGTTTAGATTTAAATTTTAAATTGTAATGGCCATTGGCTACACAATAAATTTTACTACTGCTATTAAACATTTATTTTTTAACTTTCACTACGTCATTTCCTTCTTACTCATTTTGTATACCCTCGTGGCTTGTTAAAAATTTTAAAGTACATTATGTTCTGAGGTTTTTGTAAACAATTGATAAGTCTGTATTATAACTAAATGATAAGATCGTCCACTTTGCCTGGGAACCCTCTTGTTTTTAATGTAATTGGGTAAGCATAGAATGCTGTGTGACTGTAGAGGTTTTATTGACAAAGAGTTGGAGAGATTTTCTGTTTTTAACACAATATTTTAAAATGGCTGGTCTAGAAGTAGGGGAAAAAGAAGAAGGGGAAAAAACGAATGGTTACAGACTTCCAACTTTTCTTACAAGAAACAATCACTCTAATAGTAGAAACAGCTGTGAAAACAGCCCTGGACTCTATGCAGCCTAAGCTGGATTTACTTCTACAGCAGAGGACCAACCAGATGGAAGAACGAACTGACATGGAATCCATCTTTGTGAGAGATAGGGACACAGAAAATACAGATGAAGTCTGCAAGCAAAATGACGTGGCCTGCAGAACAAAGTTAACACAAGCAAAAAGAAACAAAATGTTTGGAGAACTGAATGTGAGATTCTATGAAAGAATTACAAGAGATGAAACTTTTACAGCAGCAAATGCAAATTTCCTTCAGACAGAGAAAATTAAAGAATATATGGAACCTCAAACTATCCAAAGAATTGAATACAGATGGCTACTTTCAGAAGCTATTTTTCGTACATACAAGGGGAAAAGACACAGAATTGTGTCTTTAAAACTTAAAAGGAGAAACCAGAGAATGAAGAAGAGAATGAAATCCTATAAAAAAGGTTAAAAACTTTCTGGATTTGCAAGACCAAACACACTGGGTCAAAACGTTTTGGATAAGTGAGATTACGCAGTCTTCCAAGATTTTATAAAGGATTGAAAAGACTATAGAGATGCGTATGTCTTAAAAATCAAATTAGGCTGACATATAACCACTTTGAAGGAAACAGGAACTTTATTTTAAAACAATTGCAAAAGTATATAAAAACAAGGTGGAATATAGAAAATAGATACTTGGATATTGTATGAGATACTGAACTAGATATCATAGTGATGAAATGTAAAGCCCCCGATTTGTGTATGTTTGTCTTAATAAAAAAGAAAAGAAAATGTTAAAAAAAATATGTAGTGATGGCCACAGGCATGAAAGGGGATTAGATGGACTTGTGGAGCAGAGGTCCATGGGGACTAAAGGGAATCTTCGCATTCAGAGGCAGTCAATCCCTGAATACCAGTGCAAGGCGACAACATCAGAGGAAGGCCTCAGCCTCAGTGCCCTGGTTGTTGACCCTCTAGAGTTGGCCACATGTGAAACGGGATGATGGACTAGATAGTCCAGTGATCTGATCCAACGGGGGCTCTTCTTATGTGTGTTGAGCTGAGGGCCAAAGGTGGAGCCAAGGAGGCCTCTTCTGGTGTGGAGACATCTTGTGTGTGTCTTCTTCCTGCTTCTGCTGTAGTCTGCTTTCATAGAGTGGCTCTTCCCTTCTGTCCCTTTTGGTGCTTGGCTGATGCTCATACTTTCTTGGGATGCCTGAGGTCTAAGTCACAGGAAACACGTACAGTATCATCAGAGAACCAGTTTGGTGTAGTGGTTAAGTGCGTGGACTCTTATCTGGGAGAACCGGGTTTGATTCCCCACTCCTCTACTTGCAGCTGCTGGATGACCTTCAGCAAGCCATAGTTCTGTCAGAGCTGTCCTTGAAAGAGCAGTTCTTGAAAGAGCTCTCTCAGCCCCACCTACCTCACAGTCTGTCTGTTGTGGGGAGGGGAAGGGAAATGAGTTTGTAAGCCGCTCTGAGCCTCCGAGTGAAGGGCGGGGTATAAATCCAATCTCCTCCTCTTCTTCTTCTCCTTCTCCTCCTCCCCCTCCTCCCCCACCCCGTTCTGAAAGGGTGTCTTACACTGGGGCTGGGAAGAACATTTCAGATTTTTCATAAGAGCATAAGAGAAGCCAATGTTGGATCAGGCCAGTGACCCATCTAGTCCAACACTCTGTCACTCAGTGGCCAAATGCATCATGCATTTGCTGATGCACACATAAAGTAAAGGTAAAAGTTCCCTTTCTCGAAACCATATATCAGCATAAAAAGAATTAGAAGCCAGAAGTGATCTTGTAGTGACCGGTCTTGCATATTTCTAGGGGATGCCATGCCTGGGACATATCTATAGATGAGCAGAATGTGCTGGCAACATTTGTGGGTGGGTGGGGGTGACTGAAACTGATTTTTCAATAGTATTATCATGTGTGCCAGAAAAGATGGATTTCTGTGCTTCTGTGGCAGGTGGCGGAACGTGACTGGCGTATGACCTTTCTGCCCCAGTTTGAGGCCTGCGTACATGCTGGAACATTTAGCTTCATGTGCAGCTACAACAGGTGTGTGTTTCTGTATCCTCTCAATAAATTTGGGAGGGTTAAGTGTAAGGGTTTAGTGGACAAGAGCATGTTTGCAGGCCCTTCTTTTTTCTGTATGGAGGGATTGAAGGGTTACTTGTGTTCGAGGTGAGGAATCTGCTGACCTGGTTTCTCTTGGGTGGAGGGTCTAGTCCAGTGGGTTAGAGACTGGTAACCTGGACACCTGGGTTCTCTGGGACTAGGAATTAGCCCCATCCATGAGCTTACAGCATGACTAAAACTCAGAGTTGGACTTCTGTATTCTCCTGGACTGGATTGTTTTCCCTTTTGCTTTTGTAGCCAGTTTCAGGTGGGTAGTCATGTTGGTCTGCAGTAGAAGAGCAAAATTGGAGTCCAGTAGCACTTTAGAGACAACAAGATTTTCAGGATATAAGCTTTGGAGAGTCAAATCTTCCTCTGTTAAATACATATTTGATGAAGGGAGCTTTGACTATCAAAAGCTATATTATATCACAAAATCTTGTTGGTCTGTAACATGCTACTGGACTCAAATCTAGCTTTTCTTTTGTAGCCAGATACTCAGATACTATCAATTATGGGCACAAAATTATCTCTGTGTAACAGCTAGTCCATCTCATGTGGTTACTGAAAGAATTACTAACCTAACAAAGGGCTCAGAACACTTTTATAGGCACTATATACGTGTTGGATGCTGTTGGGGGTTAGGGCAGTGAACTGAAAGATGCTGGCGGCGGCAGCTGCAAGACACTTCGAGGGCCACTGATGGACTCTCTTGTTCCTGCCCAGGATTAATGGAATCCCAGCGTGTGCTAACAAGAAGCTTTTGACAGACATCCTGCGCAAAGAATGGGGCTTCAATGGCTATGTGGTGAGCGATGAGGGAGCTGTGGAGCTGATCATGGTGGGACATCTCTACACCCATAGCTTCCTAGAGACTGCAATAGGTGAGTAGAGCAGGGCAGAGAAGAAAAGTTTATTCTTGGCCTGCTGGCAGGAGGTCCACTTAACCCATCCGCATCACTGTTTCAGTTCCTTGTGGCCCATTCTTGTGTCCTTCAGGCCAGTCCTTTGGTCAGGTGTCCCCATCAGTTGCCTCCCCAATCTCCAGGAACTTCCTTCACATGTTCATTGTGGGGAAAGTGGGATGGGATAGCTAAGGGACTGTGGAGTATTTCACTTCACCAATGAGAGAGTGAAACCTGGGTTTTATCATGCAAACCATGCAGTACTCATCCTTGTAGCCAGGGGATAAATATGACTGGCCTCCCTCACAGGGGTGCTTGCTGTAAGGGTTGCTGTAAGGTATTGTGTGTGTAGGGCACTGAGTCATCACTTGTAAATTAGAAACTATACAGCCCAGCTATTCCCGATATACTGGTTTTGTGCATGTAGGAAACCTTGTCCACAGGCAGATGTTCAGCCATGCAAATATCTCCCACTAAGACTGGCATGGTATGGTCCAGGAACAGCTTTGCTACCTTGTAGGCTCTAGTGTCATTGTGAATGTGTGTGTTGTCCAATCCAGTGCTCACAGGTTGTTCAAGCCAGGATAATGTAGTAAGTAGGTTGTCACACTAGGATCCAGGAGACCAGGGTTCAAGTTTGCCATCAGCTATGGAGTTTGTTGGGTGACCATAGGGGGCTGAGGGCTTAGACTGGCTCAACCTACTTCACAGGATTGTCTTGAGGATAAAATTGGGAAAATGAGAATGTGTGCCACTCTGAACTCCTTGGAGGAAGGGCGGTGTAAAATGTACTAGGTAAATAGTTCAGAGATTTTATTTGGGATCTCACCTGCTTATGACTTTCACTCCTCCTGTATGCAGTTTCTGTGAATGCTGGATGTAATCTGGAGCTATCCTATGGGATGCGGAGGAATGTGTTCACTCACATACCTGAGGCTGTTGCCAAGGGGAACATAACCTTGGAGGTAAGCTGTCCTTCTTCCCAGAGAAAGGAAGAACAGGCAAAGTTGGGTCACTGAATACGGTAAATTTCAGTTTGGGTTTTTTGTAACTTCTAGCTTTGAAATATCTCCCCCACCCCATTGCTCCATTCACTTCTGATTTTCATCTAGTTTCAGTCTACCGCTTACTTTCTTTGCCTATAAAATAGTTTGAGAAAGCACAGTGAATAAATAAACATTTGAAGAGTCCATTTTTCTTTGGAGTGGCATTTGGGTTATGATGCAGAAGAGTAGCAAGATTGCGTTCCAGTGGCACCCTTATATTTCAGGAGAGGTGTTGCAAAGAAGGGAGTCAAGATACAGATAAGTGTGAATCTGTTTTGGTTTTCAGTTAATATACCAAACACAGGAAGTAAAACCACAAGACCATTATGTTGTGGGGAGTGAGTGAGGAGGAATCAGTTGACTTCTGATGCAGATGGCATAAACTTCACCTAACAGTCTAGTTGGTTGTGAGAACTTGGTTCCCCTTGCTGATCACATTGCGGTTTCATGAGCTGACTGTGCTCCTTCGTTTTGCCCTTTCTGCAGATGATCAAAGACCGCATCCGCCCACTCTTTCTCACCCGGATGCGTCTGGGTGAGTTTGACCCGCCAACTATGAACCCATACAATGCTCTGGGTCTTAAAGACATTCAGACCGAAGCCCACCGTCAACTGGCCCTTGATGCTGCCATCCAGTCCTTTGTACTGCTAAAAAACAACCATGGGACTCTGCCCCTTAAGGCCAAGGAAATCTTCGGAAAAAAGCTTGCGGTAAGCATTTGGCAAAAGATGATACAACGGGAAGGGTACCTCATTCTTGATAGTGTCTCCTTGATTCCGGTGTTGTTAGGGCATTCACTGCAGTTGAAATTTTTATAGGGTGATCAGGATATGTAGAGAACCATTCCTCCAGGGCATTGGGACCACAGTAGGGTTGCCAACAGTGTTCCCTCTAAGCTGAGTTAGTGTGAGCTAGCTCAGTTTTTTAGCCTCCGGCTCACACATTTTTGTCTCAGCTCAGGAAGGATGGCTCCAGAGCAAACTCATAGATGCAGCAGCCAAATTCCTCGCTCACAACTTTCATGCCAGCAGCTCACAAAGTAGAATTTTAGCTCACAAGACTCCACAGATTAGAGGGAGCATTGGTTGCCAGCTTTCCTTGGAGAAAGCCTCAAAAGGGCATCTGTTGAAGATGCTTCAGTTCAGCGGGGTTTGGAGTTCTCCCAGAATTACAACTGATTTCCAGACTACAAAGATAATTTTCCATGGAGGAAACAGCAAATCTGAAAGATGGACTCTATGGCAACATATCCTTACTGAATTCACTCCCAAATGCCCCTTCCCCTGGCACTGTAGCCAAATCTCTAGGAATTTCCGAAGCCAGAGTTGGCAGCTCTAACCCACAGTGTGACCATTTCTCCCAGGGGTAGGACAAGTAGAAAGTGTGCCTGTAGGTCAATGGTGTGGACATGGTTTGTATGGTGAAAGTCTCTGTTCAGTCTCTGGCACCTTCATCAAAGATTTCAGATAACAGGACTAAAGGAGACCATGTGGAGTTGCTGTCAGAGAAAACTAACTGGCTGGCTGGACTAATAGATGAGTTAGTTTATCTGTTGGTAAACTCTTGAGTCTGAAGGAGCCCACCAGCAATTGTATAATAGACTAATGAATGCACCTTTAGCCAGTGAAACATTATTATCAGTTCCACCACATTAACAAGTGAACCGTACTGGTTTATAAATCCAGGAACTGGCTGTTGTTGACTGAACCTTATAAATGAACTAGGAATAAGGTTCGTTGTGGAAATAAATACAACGAACTCTAGAAAGAGGCTCTGGGTGAGTGCCCTGGCCTTGGGCACTTAGCATCAATTTACTGTAATGACCTCAGCAGGGTATAATGACACAGAGCTTACCGTTTTCTCCAGGGGAACTGATCTCTGCCATCTGAAGAGCAGATTCTCTTCTGAAGAGCAGATTCTGAGTGATCTCCAGCCCTCATCTGGAGATTGGCAACAATGGCTCCCCAGGAGGAATAGCTGGTTTGGAGGATGGAGTCTATGGCATTGTACCTGTCTGAGGACCCACCCCTCCTCAAACACTACCCTCTCCAGGCTCCACCCCTCAAATCTCCAGGAATTTCCCAACCTGGAGTTGGCAACCCTATCTCCTTCCCAGCCAACCATCACCTGCACCTCTGACTTCAGCTTTCCATCTCCCCCACACACACCTGGAGCCTCTACCTAGGAAAAGTACAGTCTCTCCGCATTGGGGACCCAAGCAGGAGGGAAGCAACCTCATCAGGGTAAAATGACACAGAATCTACCCTGCAAAGCAGCCGTTTTCTCCAGGGGATCTGATCTCTGCCATCTGGAGAGCAGTTTTAATTCTGAGTCATCTCCAGCCCTCACCTGAGGATTGGCAGCTGGTGTTCCAGGAGAAAATAACTGCTTTGGAGGGTGGACTCTATGGCATTCTATTCAGCTTCCCTCCCCAAACTCTGGTTTCCGTAGACTTCACCACAAAATCTCCAGGAATTTCCCAACCTGCAACTGGCAACGCTAGTCAGGACTTGCCCAAATGAGTTCCCCACAAAGGCCAAAGTAGGCCTGGAAAGGGCCTCCTGCCTTTGCCTTTTTACTGACAGAACCTAGCTTGGTTGCTTAGCAACAGCCACTGAGGGGAAAGTTAGCCCCACAGCAGTAGGAGAAGAGAATGGTTTGAGAGCCGGTGGCCCACCTCAGTACCCAGCCTACAGCAGAGGAGCCAAGCAGAAGTAGAATCGTCTTTGTCAGGAATGACAGCCGTTTTGGCAGTTTATTCTTTCAGGGAAGAGTGTCCAGGCTGGCAGTGGGTACGAGAGAGGAGCGGACCCAGCCCCCAGCCAATGGCATGCAAGTTACTCTTTGAGTGGCGGTTGACTGGCCAGTGGCTGATGGAGCACACAGCACAGCCAGTGGGAGAGCTGGAATCTCTCACTGTTTTTGTCTAAGTCAGTAAATTTCCTTTGGAGTTAGTAATCATGGTAGAAGGCAGGTCTCAGTGGGAAAGTGCTTCCTACCTTCTGGGCTAAGCAGATTTTGTTCCGAGCTTCCATTGTTGACTTTTCCTTCATAGACAGGACAGACAATGCACTTCTTAATGTTTGCAATCCACGTAGGGCTCAAGATGCCTCAAATTAGGTGTAGAAAAGTGCTATTGAAAGAGCACTGCTGGCCACAGGCACTTTACAGCAAACAAATTGCTGTATTCTTAAAAAATACTGCTCTGTGTAGTCTGCATTGTAGTCTTGAGGTTACCAGACCACAAATGATAGAGAGAGGCTTCTCCCTTCTCCCTTCTCCCCCAGGCCTCAGTTCTCTGTGCCAACTGTCCCATTCATCTTCTGCGTATGGGAGTTTTAATCCTACTGTGATCCCTAATTTCTTCTTGGCAGGTGGTTGGGCCTTTTGCAGACAACCAAATGATTCTCTTTGGGGACTATGCTCCGGTCCCAGAACCCCAGTACATTTATACCCCAAGGTAAGACCAATAAAGAACTCTTCAGCCTCGGAAACTGTATGTTGAGCCAACCTTAGTGCAGCTGAGGTATCTCTTTTTGGTCCAAGCACCACTCACTCTGGCTTGGCTTGGGCATACAGAACAGTGCTTTTCTGGGCACCCAGCCTCTGGAGCAGCTAGTAAAAGATCTGAGCTGGAAGGCTGTGAGCTGAAGAGACCACCAAGTGCCCTGCCTGCTGCTCTTTAAACATGTCCACTGGATTGGCTTGCAAGGTAGCATAAGTGGGACCTTTGCAAAAGTATAGTGTCCGTATGTGCATCTAGTAGGTAGGTAGGTAGCATTTATTGTATGGGGCCAAAGGCCATTACAGTTGGGATGCACAAAAGGAAACATAGACAGAAAAAACAATAACAGTATAAAGGTACAAGCATGTAAAAACTTATTTAAAAAACACATAAGCACCTCTTCCCTGTGTACAAATAAAGTATTTCAACTTTTACACACAGCTCTAGCCTGTATTTTCTTGGCTGCCAAGACAAATTGGTGCCACTCGATAAGAAACATACTGGTCTGAATCAGAGAGTAAGTTTCTCCAGTGCAGAAGAAGAATGTATACCTTTTAAAATCTCGGTGAGAAATTTATTTCTGGATTGCATGGACAAAGAGCAGAACAGAATATAATATGGAAGATCTTCTGGGGCCAAGGCTCCATAAATACACAGATGTGCTATTTGCAGCTAATATTGTGTGGGGCTTGTCCAACATTGGACAAGCAACTGTCCATGGCTGGTGGATACATTCAACTTACTGGTCCCTTTCATGTGTAAGCGGGTCAGGGCGGCTTACAAAAATTTAAAACAACATACAATATAAAACCAGCACTTACAGGTATAAAATACAGTAAATACAGTAAAACTAAATAAATACGGCAGCGTCCTATGGTAAAGTGCTAGTGTGACCCAGCCGGTACAGTCAGTTCTTATTTAAACACTTGGTGAAACAGCTCAGTTTTCACCGCTCTACAGAAATGCTGGAGGTCCCGTAGCGCTCTAATTTCACTAGGGAGCTTGTTCCACAGCTTTGGCGCCACCAGGGAGAACGCCCTGGTCCTGGTTACCATCAACCTGGCTTCTCTAGGCCTGGGGGAGGGGGGCAGGCGGTGTTGTGATCCAGACTGCAGTGCTCTTGGAGGAATGTACGGGGAAAGGCAGTCCCTCAGGTAGGCAGGCCCCTGACCATTTAGGGCTTTAAAGGTCAAAAACAGCACCTTGAAGCTAATCCGGAACGCTATTGGAAGCCAGTGCAATGACTTCAGCACAGGCTGGATGTGCTCCCACCTGGGGAGACCCATCAACAATCTGGCTGCTGCATTTTGCACCAGCTGCAGCTTCCGAAGTTGCCCCAAGGGCAGCCCCATGTAGAGAGCATTACAGTAGTCTAACCTCGAGGTGACCATAGCATGGATCACTGAAACCAGATCATTGCGATCCAGGAAGGGGACCAACTGCCTAATCAGCCGAAGGTGGTAAAACGCTGCCTTGGCAGTGGCCGCTACCTGGGCCTCCATTGTCAATGAGGCATCCAGGAGCACACCCAAACTCCTGACCCTTGGTGCTGGCACCAATGGCGCCGCACCAAAGGCCGGAAGAGGGGCCCCTAACCCCAAGCCACTCCGATTCAGGCAAAGGACCTCCTGTCTCCGTCAGTTTCAGACAACTCAGCCTAAGCCATCCCACCACGTCCTGCAACGCCTGGTCCAGATCTCCCGGGGTAGAGCCAGACCGACCACCCAACCACAGATAGAGCTGGATGTCATCCGCATATTGGTGACACCCAAGCCCATACCTCCGTGCAATCTGGGCAAGGGGGCGCATGTAGATGTTAAATAGCATTGGGGAGAGCACTGCCCCTTGGGGCACTCCACAAACTAGTGGGTACCTTCGGGACATCTCCTCCCCAAGCACCACCCTTTGTCCCTGACCTTGGAGAAAGGAGACAAGCCATTGCAAGGCCAGCCCCCAAATCCCCGCGTGGGCGAGGAGCTGATGGTCGACCGACAGATCTAACACCAGCAACACCGCCGTCCCGCCCCGATCCAGATGCCTCCGGAGGTCATCCGTGAGGGCGACCAGTGCTGTCTCTGTCCCATGACCAGGGCGGAAGCCGGACTGGAAGGGATCCAGCGTGGAAGTGTCATCTAGACAGCTCTGCAACTGTATCGCCACCACCCTCTCTACTAATTTGCCCAGATAGGGCAGATTGGAGACCGGCCGATAGTTGGCCAATTCGACTGGGTCCATGGATGGTTTTTTTAGGAGAGGGCGGACCATCGCTTCCTTGAGAGCCCCTGGGAAAAGGCCCTCCAAGAGGGACCTGTTGATAACGTCCCTAAGGGTGCCTCGTAACCCCTCGCGGCCAGTTTTAATTAGCCAGGAGGGGCATCGATCAAGGTTGCATGTGGTCGGACATACAGTTGAGACCAATCTGTCAACTTCCTCTAGGAAGCTGACACCATCCTGACTTTCACCCTTAAAGTGAGGCTGCGATCCAATGGACACTTTCTCCATTGAATAAAATGGGACTTAATGCTGAGCAAATCAGTTTAGGATTGCTCCCTGAGAGCTGTTTCTCATCCTTGTCTGTTACAGGAGAGGTCTGGCAATGATCTCAGCTCATGTCAACTTTGCTGCTGGATGTGCCTTCCCCAAATGCGACCACTACTCTGTTGCCGAGGTGAAGTCCGCAGTTGAGGGAGCGGACATTGTGGTGGTGTGCTTAGGCACAGGTGAGCAGTCCCAGTTTCCTTCCTGCATGTCTGTTAGAATAATCTCATGGTCATTCCTCAAAGTGGAGGAGAGCCACAGCTAGAGCATTTGCTTTGCATGCCAAAGGCCCCAGGTTCAATCCCCACTGTCTCCAGTTAAACAGGTCACGTGATAGGTGCTGCAGACCTCTGCCGGAGACTTCAGAGGGCCACTGCCAATCAGAGTAGGTGACCTTGATGAAGTGACAGCATCTTTATAAGTTCAAGGTGTAACTCTTCATTTCAAGCAGAATAGCATAAGGAAGCTGTTCTCTTGCTGCAGTGACCGTACTCCAGAGCTATAGGGTCACTTGTGTTGTTTTTTTAAAAAAGAGACATGTCACCAGTGAGCGAAATTCTTCAAACTTTTTAATATGTGCTTATTCATATGAATGCACCCATCTATACACATGCACGCAGTGGGGAACAGTCGTGTTTTTAGTTCAGTTGCACCTTAGACAGCATCAAGATTTTCAAGGCATAAACTTTCAAGAGGCAAAGCTCCCTTCATCATAGATCCAAGGGAGCTTTGGCTATTGAAAGCTTATACCCGAAAACCTTGATGGTCTACTAGACTGGAATCTACCTCTTCTACTTGCAGACCAACACGACTACCCAACTGAAACTATGATTGTTTTTAGTCATCTTGACTTGTGGAGACAGTGTATTCATATACACATGAACTACCTGATACTGATGGACTCTATGGCAACGTATGGCCCATCAAAGTCAGTATTGTCTACTCAGACTGGCAGCAACCCTCCAGAGGTCTTTCACATCACCTCCTACCTGATCCTTTTAACTGGAGATGCTGGGGATTGAACCTGGGACCTTCTGCATGCCAAGCAGACGCTCTGCCAGTGAGCCACAGCCCCTCCCATCTTTACTGTGAAGCCTAAATAGGGTATCGTGGTGCTTTCCAGGAGATTCTTGACGTTATTCCTAAGTGCATATTTGTCCAGGTGAAAATAAAAGGGCTGCATTAGTCACTAAGAGAAGAAGAAGAGGAGGAGGAGATTGGATTTATACCCCGCCCTTCACTACCCAAAGGAGTCTCAGAGCGGCTTACAAACTCCTTTCCCTTCCCCTCCCCACAACAGACGCCCTGTGAGGTAGGTGGGGCTGAGAGAGCTCTGACAGAAACTGCTCTTTTTCAAGAACAGCTGTGCCAGAATTATGGCTTGCCCAAGGCCATCCAGCCAGGTGCAAGTGGAGGAGTGGGGAAACAAACCCGGTTCTCCCAGATTAGAGTCCGTGCACTTAAACGCTACACCAAACTGTATAAAAATAAGGCCAAGGCCAGTGGTGCAAGTAAAGTAAAAATATATTTTATTGCTCAGTTAAAATTTCCTACACATTTGACAGACTTCTTCAGGCAAATCTGTTAGTCTTGCACTGTTTCTTCCAGGACCAGGGGTTCCTTGGTCTTTGGCTAGTGGCCCCTGTCTGTGGGGAAGGAGCTGGCTGTATGTTCAGGTGCTCCCAAAGTGGAGGAGATCCCTACAGCAAGGACGTCCCTGCCCTGGCTGGATGGATGGCCTGGGAGCTGATGCCACAGTTGAGAGAGAGATTTGGACAAGTGACTTTTAAGAGCAGGGTCTCTAAAAAAAAGAAAGAAAAGAGCAGGGTCTCTGTCAGACTTCTGCAGCAATCAGTTCCCAACAACTTTCTTGCAAAGAAGTAAAGTTTATTGAAACGTTGAAGTATGCAGGTTGTCTTTCCACATCTCGTATCAGTGCTGGCAATAAGCGTGCAAAACAAATAGATATATATAATTCAAGAGAGTCCCCTGATGGCCTGGCGCCAATCACAGAACAGGTAGAAGCCTGCCAAAGCTAACGGGTCCAGAGGCCCACACACACACTCCAAGGCAGCTAGAGGCCTAGCTGACATACTGCCCCCCTCAAGATCTCCCCCACCAGGTTTATTGGAGTACATTTTGTGAAAACCACATAGAAGTTTAGGAGTGTTTACATGACAGGCTTTCACCCATTCATTATGAGAGGGGTTAAAGTCCTTCCATCGGATAAGATAGTATAAACTGCCACGTATAAGCTTTGAGTCCAAAATTTGGTCCACCTCATGGTGTGGCTCACCATTCCGCAACAGAGGAGGAGGGGCTGGAGGTCAAGGTCTCCACTTGTTTGGACCTGGGTCCCTCTTTAACAGACTGAAATGAAAAATAGGATGTACATCTTTGAGTGATTTAGGCAACTCAAGTTCAACCCAGCCTTCGTTTACTCATCAAGCAAGTCTGGCACTAGCCCACATATTGAGAGATGTCCTTTCTCATGTGAGGCCACCAAAACTGCCGTTGGAGCAGATGAAGGGTTTTTAGATATCCAAAATGACCAGCTAGGCGAGATTCATGTCCAAAGTGTAGAACTTCTCCATGGAGGGCATTCGGCACAGTCTGCCCCAACTGTACCAACAGCCATTCGGACCTAGCTGGATGGAAGGATCTTTAGCGGTCTGTTCCCTATCAGAGTCTGTGAAAGCAGCTTTGAATTTGGAAATCCATGGCTCGCCCCCCTCCCTGGCCTCTGCTTTCGCCTGGCTGCGTGTCACTGTGGCCGCTTCCAGTGAAAATGGAATCCACCACCTCCTCCCTCTGACTGGCATGTTGGGGGAGGCGCGATAAGGCGTCAGCCACGGAGTTAGTCCTTCCCAGGAAGTGCTGGAGGGTGAAACGAAACGTAGAGAAAAACTCTGCCCATCTGAGCTGTTTGCCATTTAGGTTTCAGGGGGTGAATAAAGGTTCTAGGTTCTTATTATCAGTCCAAACTTCGAAAGGCACCCTTGCCCCCTCCAACCAATGCCGCCAAGTGATCAGGGCCAATTTAATAGCCGCAGCTTCCTTGTCCCACACCGCCCAGTTTCATTTGGTAGCATTGAATTTCTTTGAAATGTAGGCTAGTGGATGTAACTTTCCATCTTCCCCCTCTTGTAAAATTGCCCCTCCATGGCAACGTTGGATGCATCTGCCTGGACCACAATTTTTTTATTCTCCTCGGGATGGTGTAAAATTGGCTCAGAGGTAAACAGTTCCTTTAATTTGTCAAAAATGCTTTGGCACTCAGCCGTCCACTCCAAGCATGCACCTGGTTAGGAACTGTCTTGCCCCTTCCCCTTAGTCTTTAACAAGTCAGTGAGGGGCAGACTTACTTGGGCAAAATTGGGCAGCAAGGGACGGTAGAAGTTAGTGAAGCCTAAGAATGATTGGAGTTATCTTCTAGTACAGAGGGCTTCCCACCCCAACACAGCAGCCACCTTATGCAGGTCCATTTCCAACCCCCTCTGGGAAATGTGGTAGCCCAGGAAGACTACCTCTTTCTTATGGAACTCACACTTGGATAGCTTGGCAATGTTACATGAGAGTCCATGTCTTGGGAGTATAAAAGAATGTCATCGAAATACACAAGAGCCCCATTAAACAAGTGCTTGTGTAATACTTCATTGATCAGGTTCATGAAGATCCCTGAGGCTCCCTGCAACCCAAAGGGCATCACTAAATACTTGAACTGTCTCAAAGGGGTGTTATGCACTCTTGTGCTCATCCCCCTCCCGGATGCACACTCGAAAAAAGTAAGCGTCCCGCAAGTCTAGTTTAGAAAAAAAAAATTCCCCTTGGCTGCCTCCACCAAAAGGTCTTTAATCAGTGGAAGAGAGTAAATGTTAGTAGTGGACACCACGTTCAGGCCCCGGTAATCTATACATAGCCTCAACCCCCCAACCTCCTCCTCCTGGAAGAGAACTGGAGCCGCAAACAGGGAGGAGGCGGGGCAGATGAACCCACGGGCTAGGTTTTTGTCAATGAACTTCTGCAGTTCCTCCTTCTCCGCAGGGCTCATGGAATACAGTTTCCCTTTAGGCATTTTATGCCCTGGCAGAATCTCGATGGCACAGTCCACATTGCGGTGGGGTGTGTGTGTTTGTCTGCCTCTTCCTCCTCAAACACCTGGGCGAGGTCTCTGTATTCTGCTGGGATGGAGTTAAGCTCCTCCTGAGCCAAACACACTCCGGTGGGGTTACCGGCATCTTTCCCCACATCCTTTTCCAGACATGGTCGTCACATTTGGGGTCAGAGACGTACAGGGTTCCTGAGCTCCACCATATATACCAGTGGTGGCGAACCTATGGCATGGGTGCCAGAGGTGGCACTCAGAGCCCTCTCTGTGGGCACGCGTGCCATCACCCCAGCCAGGCCCAGACCATCATTAAAGTGTCGAATTCTCTGACAAATAATTTTAAGTAAATGAAAGCATTTGGGATTGCCTTTCCTTACTTTGTTTGGATCATCTTATGAGTTGTTTTTTTAAAAGTAAAACCTCAGCATTCAGGTTAAATTGCCGTGTTGGCACTTTGCGATAAATAAGTGGGTTTTGGGTCACAGTTTGGGCACTTGGTCTCTAAAAGGTTCACCATCACTGTCCTAGTCTGACACTCTGACCACTACACCACACTGGCTGTCTTTAATGGTTCTTAGTTTGCTCCAGAGTTACCCAGAGTTTTTGCTGCCCACAGAGCCTGGTCTGAAAGTTGGGAAGCAAAATGCAATTTGGCACAGCTCAGAGAAGAATAGATGGTAGGATGGAAAGCCACCAGCCGGTAGCCAGAATCATACATGAACAGACTCAGGGTTTCTTGACGTCTGACTATGAGTGGATATCCAGGTTCCAGCCATGGGTTTAAAGAAAGGGGTTGAGTACTCAAGGACTTAGAATGAAATCTGGCTAACCTAGTTTTGTTCATCTCAAAATAGTTTGGAGAACAAGATGGATGAGGGGGTCTTTCCAGGGGAGTGTGAGCAAGGGAGAATTTAGAGATTTCCCACCTTGTGACATTTGTGCATACAACAACTACTTGTTCACAGGGTCTGTGAACTCACTGCAGCCCTGTGAGAGGTGCTAGAACTGCCTACCACTCGAACCATTTCCTTGTTTACATTGTCTTGGTGAGACTGGTGGACACTTTTCCATCCTTCCAGGATACTCCCATTAGGTTCTTCTTCAGTTTGCAAAGGGAGGCTGTCCAAAGAGAAGGAGGGAGGCTATGGAAGGGCTTCTGTTTGACACTGTGCTTCCTTCTGCTTAGGGATTGATCTGGAGATGGAAGCCAATGACCGGAAGGACTTGGCCCTGCCTGGGCATCAGCTACAGCTTCTGCAAGATACCGTGGCCTTAGGTGAGGGCAGCTCTTGTGAACAGCAGTGTCAAAGCTGAAGGCAGCAGTGGGGAAGGAAGGACCAGGTGGCAAGGACACTTGGTTGCTCTGGGCCCCCTGAGTTCTAGTGTTGACCAAGGGATGTGGCTTTCAGAAGGGCTCCAGTAAGAAGTAACACAGCCACACTGTTCCAAGGTAGCTCAAACACAATAAAGCCAAGCCAGAGCTCATGTATCCAGAGGGTACACTCAGGTGTACTCTCTATCCCATCTTGCTGTCCCAGATACAGTACCAAGTCCAGAACTTCTTAACTCTGTGCTGCTTTGGCTGCCATGCTAGTGTCCCATGACAATGGGGGGGGGGGGGGGGGAAGATGTTGGGTTTATAAGCAAACTAATGAAACTTCTGGAACATTTGTACACACTGGCCTATTTATCAAAGACCTCCTGTTCTTTCCGTTCCAGCTGATGGACGTCCAGTTATTCTGCTCCTTTTCAATGCATGCCCGATTGATATCAGCTGGGCCAAGTCCCACGATGGTGTGGGAGCCATCTTGGCCTGTTCCTTTCCTGCACAGGCTACTGGCCTGGCTATTGCCAAGGTGCTGGTAGGAGCAGAAGGCTCCAGCCCGGCTGGCAGACTCCCCGCCACATGGCCGGCAGGTATGCACCAGGTAAGGCTGAGATGCCAGGCCAGGAAAAGGTTTGCTGTGTGATCTTTCTGCATGTATAAATTAGCCTTCAGAGTTGAGCAGCTGAAGTGCTTTAATAAGGAAAGAATTTTACAGGGCTCTGTTTCTAGTGACGGGTCACAAACAGGAACAGGTTAAAAAGCTCTTTGGCTCCACCTGGTAACTTGGTCCCCTGCGTGTCCATACATGCACATACACAAGAAGCTGTTTTCTGTTGGGTCTGGCTCTTGGTCTATCAAGGTCAGTCTTGTCTACTCTGACTGGTTGGTCCTCTCCAGGGTCTCTGGCAGAGGTCTTTTGCATCAACCTACCATCTGATCCTTTTAAATGGAAATGCTGGGGATTGAATCTGGGACCTTCTGCATGCTAATCAGATGCTTTGCCACTGAGCCATAGCCCCTTCCTAGCTGCCTTGCACAGAGTCAGACCAGTGGTCTGTTCAGTATTTCCTGCTCTGATTGGCAGCAGCTCTGAAGGGTCTCAGGCAGAGGTTTTTCATATCACCCACTTCCTTAAACCTTTTAGTGTGGAAGATGCCAGGGATTGAAGCTGGGACCTCCGGCACGCAAAGCAGATGCTCTACCACTGAGTTGAGATCCCACCCATGAGATGGAAGCAATCATGCTTGCCCTTCAGCCCTAGCTTCATTCAAAATAAGACCACTGTTAAAAATTCATTGCTCAACAGAGAGCCAGGAGAGGGAGCCCTTTCCTGAGCTTGTGTTCTTGCACAGCACTTTCGTTAAGGAAGGCAGAGACAAACCACTTTGGCCTCTTGAGGGGGGAGGTGAGGGGAAGAGTGGTCAGCTCCAAACACAAGGCCATCTGTGGGGCCTTGCAAAGGAGCCAAGGGCTGGACTACATGATACAGTGGCCCTGATGAAGTCCTGCCATTTTGTGGGAGTGATAACACTGGGGGGGGAGCAATGTTCCCTCTAAGCTGCGGAGTCTTGTGAGCAAAAATTCTACTTTGTGAGCTCCTGGCATTAAAGTTGTGAGCAGGTGATTTAGCTGCTGCATAAATTAGTTTGCCCTGGAGCCATCCTTCCTGAGCTAAGACAAAAAATTGTGAGCTGGAGGCTAAAAAACTGTGAGCTGGCTCACACTAACTCAGCTTAGAGGGAACACTGGGGGGGGAGTGTATGGGCCTATAATACCCCGGATCCATTTGGGATAGGGGAAATGATGGAGGGTGCAGTGGCCCCTCCTGTCCCCATCCTGTGTTGAACCTAACCGGGATTGCTCTTCCACAGTGCTGTCAAAGGGAGTTCCACAGTGGGGCATCCCCAGAATCACTGTATTGTCTTGTTTGGCCCTAAGGTTTGGCTTGGCTATTGTCTGGAACTTGCACACTTTTCATCATGCCCCTCTTCATCCTGCCTGCCTGCCTGGGCTCCTCCTCTATTTCTTCCATTCACTTCTGCATGCCCACCTGCAGGTGCCCCCGATGGAAAACTACACAATGGCTGGCCGGACGTATCGGTACTATGGGGACGAAGCTCCGCTGTACCCCTTTGGCTATGGGCTCTCGTTTACCACCTTCCACTACAGCGATCTGGTCACAAGCACCAGTGTTGTGCCCATTTGCGGCAACCTCAGCGTCTCTGTGATAGTGGAGAACACTGGCACCAGAGATGGCGATGAGGTGAGCATCAGATGTGGCTTACATTCATACCTACAGCAGGATTGGTAGGGTTTATTCATCTAGATATTTATACCCTGCTTTTCTCCCTGCAGTGGGGACCCAGAATGGCTTGTGACATTGTTTTATCCTGTGGGGTAGGCTAGGCTGAGAGTGTGTGACTGGCCCAAGGACACCCACTGAGCTTCCATGGCAAAGTGGGGATTTGAACCTGGGTCTCCCAGATCCTAGTCCAACACTCTTAGCTACTAATGCGATTTTGGGCTGTATCAACAGAAGTGTGTGTCCAGATCACGTGAAGTGATGGTACTGCTTTACTCTGCTCTGGTTAGACCTCACCTAGAGTATTGTGTTCAGTTTTGGGCACCACGATTTAAGAAGGTTAAGATGCTGAACTGCAGACCGGAAGGTCGGTAGTTCAGCAGTTCGAGACCCTAATGCCACGTGACAGAGTGAGCTCCCGTCTCCAGTCCCAGCTCCTGCCAACCTAGCAGTTTGAAAGCAAGACATTGCAAGTAGATAAATAGGGACCGTTTCGGAGGGAAGGGAACAGTGTTCCGTGCGCCTCGGCGTCTAGACATGCCAGCCACATGACCACGGAAATGTCTTCGGACAGCGCTGGCTCTTCGGTTTGGAAACGGAGATGAGCACCGCAACCCTAGAGTCAGATTCGACTGTCTTTCAAGCAAGGGAAATCTTTACCTTTACCTATAGACAAGCTGGAAACATGTCCAGAGGAGGGCAACGAAGATAGTGAGGGGGTCTGGAGACCAAGTCCTATCTAGATGAGGAAAGGTTGAAGGAGCTGGATAGGTATAACCTGGAGAGGAGACAACTGAGAGGTGATATGATAACCATCTTGAAGTACTTGAAGGGCTGTCGTATAGAGGATGGTGCAGAGTTGTTTTCTGTTGCCCCAGAAGATTGGACCAGAACCAAAAGGTTGAAATTAAATCAGAAGAGTTTTCAGCTAAACATTAGGAAGAACTTCCTGATGGTTAGAGCGGTTACTCAGTGGAACAGGCTTCCTCGGGAGGTGATGGGGTCTACTTCTTTGGCGGTTTTCAAACAGAGCCTAGATGGCCATCTGACAGCAATGCTGATTGTGTGAACTTAGGCAGATCATGAGAGGGAAGGCAGGAAGGGTTGCCTCAGTGCTTAGTTCTTGTGGCCCTTTCTTACACCCCCAGGGAAATGCTGATCACCACTTTGGGGTCAGGATGCAAGGTCTGTGTGCAATGTTTCTCGAGGCTGGTTTGGCTGGAGATCCTGGAGGGTTTTTTTTTTTTTTTGTCATCTTCTGGGCATAGAACAGGGGTCACTACAGATGTGGAGGGGGAGGTATTGGTGAATTTTCTGCATTGTGCTTGGGGTTGGACTAGATGACCCTGGAGGTCCCTTCCAGTTCTATGATTCATACTACACGATGCAAGAAATGGTTGCAGTGAGGAACAGAACCAGTCGAGGGCGGAGGGAGCTGGAGACAATAGCCTGTGTCTGAAAAGGAAATGGAAGTCCTTGGGTCCCCCTTATGTATCTCAAGGCAGAATCCTGCCCCCCTCCCCAATAAAAAATCCATCTGATCCAGGCCAGAAAGGGGGTTGCAGGAAAAAGGTCAACCCAGAAAAGGCGTGTGTGACTGTTCTGGAGCTGGTTGCAAGGGTTTAGAGAAGGTGATGCCCGTGGCAGCTTTGGTATTCTTGATATCCGGTAGAAAGGGGGCATGATTTCCAAATAATGCCATGGTCACCAGATGGAGACTGGCAGGAAGATGAGTTTTGGTCTCTTCTCCTCTTAACAGCTCCTTCTCTTTCTCCAGGTGGTGCAGCTCTACCTTCGCTGGGGAAATGCATCCGTTCCAGTGCCACGCTGGCAGCTGGTTGGTTTCCGTCGGGTGGCCGTGCCAATGGGACATGCGGTGAAGGTGCCCTTCCAGTTAACCTACCAGCAGAGAGCGGTGTGGTTAGGGCAGTGGCTGCTGGAGCCTGGCAGCTTCACTCTGTTTGCCGGTGGGCAGCAGCCCTCCCAGGAAACCCGTGTCCCTTCTAACATCCTGCAAGCTGATTTTACTGTAGCTGGGAGCGCTCAGGGAACCAGCCAGTGCTAGGAACTGGGGACTGAAGAGGAGGAGGAGGAGGAGCACTCTGTTGGGTAGCTCATCTGGCCAACAATTACGTCCAAAACAAGTTTTCAGATAAGGCAAAAAACATAGAAATATCTTGGCATGGGAAGAAGCAGATATACTGTGAAACATTACAAATTTCAGGACTTGGTTGTCCTGGCTTGCTTTTTTGCCAGGTGAGCGGCGTGGAAGTTGGCTGTTTGGGTCATGGTGGGTTCCAGAAGACATTGAATTGGGATCCTGGCAGCTGACGTGGGCAAGAAGGGTCAAGAAGAATGAAAGCCTATTTTTTAAAAAAAGAAAAAGAAATATTCACACCCTGGGTTTTTGGGAAGGGTTCTTTTGCTTCTTGTGCCTTTGGTTACTTTTAATAAAACTGAATTTGAACTAAAAGGCTCACATGGTTATGAGAAGAGGGTTCTTGAAAGAGGGTGGTGGTATTGCTTGTACCTGGACATACAGAGCCAAAATTCATTTGCTCATGTGGCATTGCTGGGTGGAAGGGGGTGGGGGGTTCAAGATCTCTTAACACAGATGTGTAGCAGTCTTGCCAGGCTCTTGTTCCCAGGATGCTTTGTGGAAAGCCACGGCAGAGGAATTGCAATAAAACTGATAACCGTTTCCAACGAAGTCTACGTTTGTCTGCTCTCCTAAATGGCTGTGAATTAGAGCACATCTGACCCCCCCACACACACACTTTCTGCTCTGCTTCCACAGCCCTCCTTCCAGGGGAGAGGGAATCCAGGTAATTTCAACCCAGGGAATGAAAAGTGTTAAATACTGGGTTCCGTGGATGGTCTGACCCCAAGCCTGGTGATCAGCTCTCCTTTATTAGTGATTCAGCAAGAGCAAAAAGCGAAAAGCCAGGGCAACTGCCCTGTTTAAATAGCATGCAACTCCACCCACTTCCCCAAACAACTACCAACGATAGGCCATTGTCAGAACCATTAATTCCTCATTGGCCACCTCCAGAGTCCTGGTGGGCTATTGTTCTAGAGCTCCAAGCTCAGCCAGTCTCTGGTAGAAACACTCCTGTAATGTTCCAGTCCCAATACATAACACCCCTCCCCCCCTAAGTTCCAAAGCACCTTAATACCCATAGTCCTCAAGGTACGCTGGCTTACACCTTTCCTGGTGAGAGAGTCTAGGCTCGGTTGTTGGTGGTGAAGTCACAGGAGCCGTGTCTGGAGTCGCTGCAGTGGCACTGGGGAAAAGTGGCAATGCAGGAACAGAGTCCGGGGGCTCCGGAATAGTCTGTATGGGTGTGGGCAACTCCGTGTGGTTGGGATGGACTCTGGCACACGGTGCATCACACTCCAAGCTGTGCGGCGGCGGTAGCGGCTCCGGGTGGCTGGCTTCCGCAGCGGCTGGTGCTGGCTTGGCTACCTCCAGCAGGAGACAGCGGAGAAGCTGGTCAATGTGCCTGCGCAGGATCTGTCCGTCATTCGTGGAGTCCTTGTACAACACTGAACCGGTGACCCTGATGACCCTTGCAGGAACCCACACAGGGCCACTGGAGTAGTTCCGAGCATAGATGGTGCTGCCTGGGAAGAACCCTCTGGGTGCTTCTTGAACCTCCGAAAATGGGCGGTTCTCTGGTGCTCGATCCAGGTGCAGCCGGTCTAACCGGGTTGTGAGGCACCAGGCCATAAAGAACTCCACTGGGCTGCAGCTGGTGGTGGAGCTTGGAGTTGCCCGGTGACCTAAAAGGAAAGTTGCCAAGCAGTGCTCCCAGTCGCCCTGGATGAGCCGCCTGAGGGAGTTCTTGGTGGTCTGCACCATTCTTTCCACTTGTCCATTGGTGGCCGGGTGGAACAGTGCAGACCAGATGTGGCAGATCAGGTAGCGGCCCAAGAATTCCTGAAACACTCCCAACGTAAAAGCAGTCCCATTGTCTGTAACGACCATGTCAGGCAGGCTGTGCATGCAGAAAATCCGGGTGAGGGCCTGGATGGCTGCCCGAGAGGAGGTGGAGGCGACTGGAACAACCTCCAGCCATTTGGTGTAGGAGTCCACCAATATGAAGAATATCTGACCCTGGAAGGGGCCAGCAAAGTCCAGGTGCACCCGGGACCATGGGGTGTGGGTGAACTCCCACTGCTGTATGGGAGCTGGGGGGTGGTGGTTTCCTGGCTGGGTCTCCTGGCAGGCCTGGCAGTGCTTGACCCAGGCCTTGATCTCTCTGTCGATCCCTGGCCACCACACGTAGCTGTGGGTGAGAGCTTTCATCCCAGTGATCCCCAGTGAGGTAGGTTAGGCTGAGAGTGTGCAACTGGCCCAAGGTCACCCAGCAAGCTACCATGGCAGGGGAGGGGGGTGGAACCTGAGTCTCCCAGATCCTCGTCTGACACTCTGGCCACTACACCGTGCTAGTGATCAGCTGGTCCTTCCAGTTAAAGCTGGTAAAATGAGGTCAGGGGAAACAATACCTTCGTCTCCAGGCCTGTAGGCGTAAGCATGACCAAGAAGTATTCTGAATAGACTGGAGGTTCTTTTCAGGCAATGCTCCCTCTAAGCCGTAGAGTCTTGTGAGCAAAGATTTGTGCGCTACCGGCATTAAAGTTGCAATTTGGCTACTGCATTAATTAGTTCTGGAGCCACCCTTCCTGAGCTAAGACAAAAATATGTGAGCTGGAGGCTAAAAAAAACCTGTGAGCCAGCTCACACTAACTCAGCTTAGAGGGAGCACTGTTTTTGGGTTCCCCACATCAAGAGAAATGGGGCTGGAGTTCCCCCAAACGTAATGATAACAAAATAAAGGCTGTGTTTCCTTATGGACAGAAGATCCCGAGAGAGGGGAGCAGGAGAACATGACAGCCAAATGGGTCTGTCAGTGCGACAGAATATGCTTTTTTGTGTGTACTTGTGTGTGTGTGCCTGGAAGTCATGGTTGACTTCTGGCAACCTCTAGTTGGGCTTGGACATTTCAGAGAGGTGGCTTAATATTGCTTGCCCTTGTGGCCCGGCCCTGGTATTCCTTGGAAGTCTCCCTTCCAAGTACTTGCCAGGGTTGGCCCTGCTTAGCTTCCGAGATCTCATGAGGTCGGTCTTGCCTGGGTTATCCAGGTCAGGGCAGAATGTTTGTGCATGTTTTTTGCAAGGATTCTCAGGATACTTCCCAAAGGAATCAGGACTGCCCTGCCTTCCCAAGCCTCCAAAGTCCCTGCTGAAAAGTCCGTGCTCCCAGCATCTTGGAGAATCTCAGAGCTACCGCCTTTGGTTTGCTTGTAGCAGCCAAGCCTTCGGGTACATCAGTCTGTGGAAAATTCATAAAAGGTGGATGGCAAGCATTTGTTCTAAGGACGGGGGGGGGGGGAGGTTCTCATTCATATACTGTAGAGCTACATAAGCAAAAACAATGGTGCCAGATTTCTACAAAAAGGAACAACACATTTCCTTTAAAGCCAGTGAAATAAAACAGGACTCCAGTGGCATCTTAAAGACTACAAAATATATGCCGGCATTAAGCATTTGTGTGTCAATGCTCACTTCATCAGATGCATTGCAGTAGGGTAGGTTTTCTTAATTATATTAAAAATAAAGTACAGGTAGGATGTTTGCCAACAGCCTTTAAATTTATTAATTGCAACTAGATGAGGGGTTTTGCCAAATATTTAAGAACACACACGCTGAAATAGAATAATTAATGACATAAATGAAAGTGGTCCAATTAACTTCAATGAATAACTAAGATCCTTAATGCCAAATGCACTTAGAACAAATGCACTTAGAAACAACAACAACATAGAAGTCAGAATCATGCTACAGCCAAAACTAACAAAAACCGGAAACACTCTTGCAACACAAAGCTTGTTCAAATAAATCTTTAGAGCTCATGCTGACGGGCCGGAGTCCTAATTCTGGTAACTTGGTGGATAGGCGGTGCCACAGTTTGGTGGCTGCCACACAGAATGCTGCTTCTGCAATGGTCGGGGGACTGTAATAGAGAGATTACTGTTAAATAGTAAGCAACATACAACAAAAGGAATATCACACAATCCATTCCTAACTGGGGCATGTGGCACTTACCAACATTCTGTCGTAGAAATACCACAAGTGGGAGACCTGCGAAGATCCAGCAAGGTGAAGGAGGAGAGAAACTATTGGGCCCAATTCTGAAATACTGCAGGCTTGTAGGAACATGAGCAGATGCTTGCCTGCTTGTTTGCTGTAGTACTCAACCTATTTCTCCTGGTGCATGCTCAGTCCTTGTCTGACTTTTTTTTAAAGGAGAGGATTAGTTTTCTTTTCTGTTAATGTATGAAATCACATTTTTTACATGCCTTGGAGTATGTAGACACCCCTGCCTTATCTGTGGTTTGCCTCTTTTTTGCTGCTTTCACAATCAGCATGTGCTGCGTATGTTACTATTAGATATAACCATTGTTGTTACTATATTATATTATTATTATTATAGTCATATATTATCTGAAGAAGTGTGCATGCACATGAAAGCTTACTTCTTCACCCAAAGAGTGATTAACACATGGGATTCACTGCCCCAGGAGGTGGTGGTGGCTACAAGCATGGACGGCTTCAAGAGGGAATTAGATAAACATGTGGAGCAGAGGTCATTCAGTGGCTATTAGCCACAAGGTATAGACAGGAACTCTCAGGCTGGGGCAAGTGATGCACTGTATTCTTGGTGCTTGGGGGGGGGGAGCAACAGTGGGAGGGCCTCTAGTGTCCTGGTCCCACTGCTGGACCTCCTGATGGCACCTGGTATTTTTGGCCACTGTGTGACACAAGAGTGTTGGACTAGATGGGCCATTGGCCTGATCCAACATTGGCTTCTCTCATGTTCTTATGTTCTTATACCTGGAATAAAACTTTGTTGGTCTTAAACGTTCCAGGGGACTCAAACATGGTTCTGTTATTATACCATGAGAGATTTGTCCATTCCATACGTGTGTGTGTGTGTGTGTGTGTGTGTGTGTGTGTGTGTGTGTGTGAACGCACCCACCCACACAGAGGTCATTCAGTGGGTGATTCCTGGAGGCATCCATCTCCAGACAGCCATGGCAGAATTTAGGGCACCAAATTCTTGTGTGCCATACCCTTGGGTGTCAGGCAGCCATAGTAATGTTTTGGATTTACTGAAAGACAAAAGCTGATACGGTTCTTGTTATGTATTGAGCCTGTCTGTATTGAGCTTGAACTGCCCTTGCAAAAGGACTGTTATGCTTGGGATGCATAACAATAGATCGCTAGGCTCCTAGAATGGATCAGTAGGGAGGCAAGGATCCTAGAGTAAACCAATTGGGAAACAATAGAGTGTAAATAGCCTATCGTTGGGAGTGGGGGTGTTTGGGGTGTAACCCTTTTCAGGCAAATACCTGGCTTCGGCCAGGGATAGCCAGTCTTCTTTCTCTTACAGAATCACTAATAAACTATGAGCTGATCACTTCTACGCATCTGAACCCAGTATATTTCAATTTTCATAAGTATGACTGCAATACTTTGATTCCCATTTTGGTATGGGATTACGGTTTGGTGGGAAGAGAAAGGCAGGCAACTTCCATCTTCAGTCTAGCCAGACTCAGTTGTTGCCACCACAGCAGCCTATCTCTCACAATGCCCTGGGGCAGGTTTGCACAGTTGTGCAGAGTCAGAAGATTGAT